TTTTATTTAGTATTTTCGTTAGCTTAGGATTTTATTTTCTTTATTTTATTTAGTGTGAGATTCTTTTTCCTATCTTTATTAAAATTTTAGTACTTTAAGTCTTTATTTAGGATTAGGATTACTATTTGATTAGGATTTATTTTAGCTATTATAAATAGGTGATCTTAGATAGAATTATTATCATCTTTTGTTATTTTGAATATTTATTCAAGAGGTTTCTTTTAAAAAACCCAATTATCTTTCTATTGGTCCAACACAAACAACCCTATTCTAGCCCTAATTGTTGAGTTCTAATTGCCCTAAACCTTTTGACTACATCATTTATGGTAGTTATGCCTAAGGTTAGTAACACAAAAGTTCTCTGGATAATTACCTTAATTTATAACTTTTAACAACTGTGACCTTTAACCTTTGACCCTTTTAGTGACAACTTAATTATGGACAGGAAGGGCTGATTCCTGGTTTATCCTATTGAGCATACATATGTTTTTGTCAATGTTGTTAGATTATGATTATTTTTGCTTGTAATGAAGCTTCATATTATACCCCTAAACAATGCTGTTGGATTTGTTTAACATGGGAATTTTTTTTTTCTGCAGGTGCGAGGATCTCATGTTGGTACCTATCTTCCCAACTCTGGAATTTGGCACCACACTCAGAGGTTTCTTAAAAAGGGTGCCTCTGCTGCTAACACTGTTCACCACTTGGATTTTGATGCTCCAACACGAGAACATGCTAATCAGCTGCCTGACGATAAAGTACTCTCTCAGGAGCTGTTCTAAAATTTTTAATGACTTCTTTTTGTATGTAGCTTTATCTCCCAGTGTGATATGTGCAGTGTTTGTGCACCCTTTTAAATACAGAGAGGGTGAGAGGGAGAGCTCTTAAATGTGTAGTATGTGAGAAGCACGTATTTGTATTGTTTTTGACCATCTTGGTCTGATTTCTTCGAGGGGATCGTGATAGACATATAACAGTCTTTAAAATATCAATTTTTTGTTTATTGTGGCAGTGACCGTTTTTCCTTGACAGAAACAAGATGAGTCTTTACTTGAGGATGTCTGGACTCTGTTAAGGGCTGGAAGACTGGAAGAGGCGTGTGATCTCTGCCGTTCTGCTGGACAGGTATACTGAGTTTGACAAGGTTAATGAATATAGAATAACGTTCTTATTCCATTTGCATGCTGTCTGATAAGCAGTTTACTTTTGCAGCCATGGAGATCTGCAACTATATGCCCATTTGGAGGGTTGGACCTATTTCCTTCTGTTGAAGCCTTACTGAAGAATGGAAAAAATAGAACTCTGCAAGCTATTGAACTTGAGAGTGGCATTGGGCATCAGTGGCGCCTTTGGAAATGGGCTTCCTATTGTGCGTCAGAGGTAAATATAACTACAATCGTATTTAATGGTTCTATTACCACTTTCAGACATGTTTAATACCTAGTTTTATTGGATGCATTTATCCTTGCAACATTTAAGTTTTAGCCTCTTGGATTCTATCTCTGTGCCTTTCTTGTGGATGTCATAAATAATGGTTATCATTCCTTGGTGTTCGGACTTTGGTGCTTTTGCAAGTTTTCATCTCTCTCTCTCTCTTTTAAATGCAAGGATGGCGGTTGATGCACAAGCTCAATTGAGTTCTGAGGAATTAATGGAGTGTTTCTCTCTCTCTTTCTCTCTCTTTTCCCCTCACATATCTCTTTTATTTTTTTATACTTCTTTTATAGAGAATTTCTGAGCAAAATGGTGGGAAATATGAAATAGCGGTTTATGCAGCCCAATGTAGCAACTTGAAGCGCATGCTTCCGATCTGTGCAGACTGGGAGGTATGCTTTTCTGAATAGATAAGCATTTGAAGCATTCTTAGGAGGCTTTTCAAATGCTTATCTGTTCTTTGTCATATTAAGATGCTTTCTGTTATATGTCTTTTTCCCCCTTGTGAAATGCTCATAGTCTTTCTAAACTTTACCAAACACCAAGTCATTAAAATCTGATGTCCATTATATTCACAGACAGCCTGTTGGGCAATGGCCAAATCGTGGCTTGAAATTCAGGTAGATCTAGAATTAGCTCGTTCACAATCTGGCAGGATGGAACAATTAAAAGGCTATGGAGATAGTATTGATGGAAGTCCTGAAGGAATTGATAGTACCTCTCAGCCTGCATCTGGACCTGAAAATTGGCCACTGCAAGTTTTAAACCAGCAACCAAGAGACCTTTCTGCTCTTCTTCAGAAGCTTCATTCGGGGTATTTTTATTGTGTGGTTTTTGCTAATATTAAGTTTTCCTTCGTTGTATTGTTTAATTTGTTATATCCTTTTGTTTTGCTTTTGGTCCCCTGATTTAGTGAAATGGTGCATGAAGCTGTTACTCGAGGATGCAAGGAGCAGCAACGACAAATTGAGGTTTCTTTCAAGTAGACTTTCACACTTGGTTTTAGTCTGATGCTAAGTTTGCAGATATGTAGATGACAATGGTATTATGTAACATAATTTTCTTGCAAACATTGTAGAGTAATCATTCTGATCCATCAAAGCAGAGAAGAAAAAAACTTAAAAACAAAAAGGGGGAGAGGGGAATGAAAGAAGTGAAATTGAAGCTAGCTGTTATAGATGATAAAATGTGGAGTTCTTTGCAGTGGGATTGTGAATTAAAAAGTTCTCTCTTCTAGCACGTAGAGAAAACTGGTAGTCGTTTAGTTAGCCAGGATGCAAATGGGGGATTTTCCCCTTTTGATTCATGTAAGCCAGAGAAAATGCTTACATTTGGTTAAAAATCTTCGCTGTTACCATTTCACTGGGAACCCCACTCTCTTTATGCCATTGAACCCCTGATCCCCTGATCTTACCTACATAGGCTTTACTTCCTGTATCAAAGTCTCTATAAACATTTATGCACCATTTACATGCTTAGAGATTATTTTACATATCAATTTTATTTCTTAGAGCTTTTGGAGTTCATTCTAGATAAGTGCACATAGAACTGGTGTCTTAGGTCTTGTTTTGTTTTATTTATTAAATGGATTTCTTTAAATCCAATAAATATTTTGGTGGCCTCTCTAACTTTACATTGCTTGACAGATGAATCTGATGTTAGGGAATATACCACATCTCCTTGAGCTTATATGGTCATGGATAGCCCCTTCAGAAGATGATCAAAGCATCTCCAGGTAGTGCTTCTTGGAAGCCCACATCAACAATTTTCAAGTTTAATAAAGTAGAAGCAATAGCAATCCAAAATACACCAGACCCCAGTTCTATCACATTTCCTGCTTAAGCTAATTCTTGTAAGTGAGATTTCAACAAAGGTCATAGGTTGGCTACTTTGGTATTGTAGTCAGGAAAAGGTTAAATAAATGGTTAATGTCCAAGTAGTGTAGAAACATTCTTGTTGACATGTGCATTATGATTTCTTCTAGGCCTCGTGATCCTCAGATGATTCGGTTCGGTGCACACCTAGTGCTTGTTCTTAGATATTTACTTGCTAATGAAATGAAGGATCCCTTCAAAGAAAAGCTAATGACTGTTGGTGATCGTATTCTACACATGTAAGTAATTTTAAATTGTGGTCTTAGCATATCTGTCATAACTGAGTGGAGCGATTTGAAATGCATAGCGGTTGTGGCTATGAAATATCTAGTTTTTGAATCAACTAGGTTGTTATGTGTGCTACAGGTGTTGAATTGTTGTTTCTAACTGCAGGCACTAAATTATTCTGCTGAATTATTGCTAGTTTTTGTGGATTCTCTCACTTGTGCATTATATTGAGATAACTTGATTCAAATGAGCAAAATGAAATTCTAAATGCTTATGCGATGGGGTTATAACCCTCTCCCCAAAATGCTAGCCCGATTGGGTGTGCAGCGCTCACAGTTTTAAGCCTTTCAAGATCTCCCTACTTGCCTGATGTGGGATTGAAGCACCCTGCCTGCTTCCTCTGAAGTGTTTGGTGTGACACTTAGCTCTTCCAAAAATGAAAAATGTTGGAAGTCTGTGGAACCTATGCAAAAGGAATGCATCTTAACTAAAACAATGTGGGATTAAATACAGATCACCTGAACTGATTGAAACTCATAACCTTCAGATAATGAAACTTTTGACGTAAAAAAGGAATGGAGGTTGTGAAGACGTTGAGCTATGAAGTATGACCTTGTCTAACCCACTCTTTTATAAGCACCCATGTTTTTAGTTACTAAAAGCTTCTGTTATCAATTTTGTTTGATTGGTGCTGATATTTTTCTCCAATAATATGTTCCTTTTTGATAAATAATAAGGCACCAGGAGCTGTGGCAGTTATGTAACATGTTCTAGCTGTCTTCATTTCTTTGAAATTTTGTTATTGAGCATGACTTTAGTTTGTTAAACTTTTTTGATGCCCACAGGCTACTATATCTCTCGCATAATACTGTGTTCCTTTAGGCTGTTAACCATGTTGCAGAAGCCCATAAATATGTGTTCTGTATGAAAAAGAGACGCCAGCTTGAGTATATTGATAAATTCACTTAGTCTGGTTGGTAACTGTCTTCACTGGAAAATCAAATTTCAGGTTCTCTCTGTTTCTATTTTCTAAGCATCATGAAGAATTGGTTGGGATTTATGCTTCTCAGCTTGCACATCATCGCTGTATCGACCTCTTTGTGCACATGATGGAGCTAAGGCTGAATAGCAGGTAACAGCTATATGCTTTTTCCTATCCTCTTTTCTTTGCCGTTCTTCAGTAACTGAGTATTTGTGTTGATGGCCTATTTTTATCATTCGGTACTTAAAGACCGTGTGTTTTGCCCTCATGGACAATAGCGATTTGCATATTTATTTACACTATAATGAATGTTAATTAACAAAGAAGCATTGTAACAAAAACTTTTGAGTTGATATTCTAGAATTGCACATATTATATAAATTTGCAGAAAAGGAAAGAAAGTGATTTAGAAGTAGTTGCATCTTAATTCTAATAATCTGTCTGGTAGTGCTTTTATTTTCTTGCATGCTCTCTGTCTCCATATAATGTGAAGGAGATGATTATCCGATTAACTCAAATGTATTCAGGAAATACACTTGTCATGGTGTTGAGGGATTAAGTTTCTAAATTGTCTTTGGTTTTCTGGTACTGCTTGCTTCGTGTGTACTAATGCATCTAATTATGTAGATAAGCAATAATAATATGTGAATAATGAATTATAAAATACTAAACATTTGTTGAAGTTTTGTTTGTAAGATAATAAATTGTCTGTAACCTTGAATCAGTGAAATATTTTCAGAAAGAGAGGCATTCCACTGCACTTAATTCTTTTGTTGAGCTTGTTATTAGAGTTAGCACATGATTGCTTCATAAGATACACTGCTCTTCTGGGTGCGCGCTACATTTTATCTGCCGGTGAGAATCCATGTGGGGAACATTTTCTGACATGATTTTGAATATCATATTTGTTAAACATCAATAAATTTTTGTCTTACTTTTGGGTCCTCTCTGGTGTATTTCCTTGAATAATTTCTCCTGCTTGTTTGAATTCAATTATTTTTTTTAAAAAATGTTCCTTTGTCCTTCCTCAGTGAGAATATTGATTATGTTACTAAAACTTGACAAGCATTAAAAGTGGCAACTAGACTGAAGTACTATTCTGGCCAAGGAGGTGATTGGATTGTCCAGGCTGTAGCTGTGTCTGGAATATATTCTTACTGTTAATTGTTTCTTAAGCATTTTTAGGAAAGTGAGGTAGTCCTGACCAGGAGGAATGGAAAAGATACATTTAAGAAAGGTGAGAGGAGAAGAAAAAACTATGCACATGTTTGAGTATGATAAAGTCCTCAAAATAAAGATGGGAGTGCATTGTATGCCATATATTTTTTTCTGAACACAGCTACACAAGCAGAAAATAATTTGAAGAAGGAAATAGAGAGAGATGAAAGCAATGACAGCTGAAATCACTGCTTGCTGTCTTCATTTCTAAATCTGCTTGGCACAAACCAATGCCTGAATTCTGGGATCTTATGTATTTATCCTTTTTGTTTATTGTTTCTTTTGTTTTTCTCTTTAATTTTGATGCATTTAGTATGGATGAGTTTCCCAGGCTCTGATTTAAATATCAGGAGACTATTTGTGTCCTTTATTTATTGCTGATCTTAGTTCAAGATAACAGCTAAGATGTATGTCAAAGTGATGCAGAAAATGTGGAGCTATCACCTTAAGATATTGCAACATGAGAGCCTACTAGTCTTTCTCCATATGTCTGTTGGTATTTATTCTTAGTTTTAAAGTTGCAATGTTTATGTTTCTTCACTTGGCAACAGTGTGCATGTCAAATATAAAATCTTCCTTTCTGCAATGGAGTATTTGCCGTTTTCTCAAGGGGATGATTTGAAAGGAAGCTTTGAAGAAATTATTGAGAGGTATTGATGTGTTTTCTGAAGCATATATATGTGAGTTTGAGGCAGTAGTGATCCATTGGGTTCAATTAAAATGGGAATGTTTTGGTATGATAACAGGATTTTGTCACGATCACGAGAAACCAAAGTTGGAAAATATGATGAATCATCTGATGTTGCAGAGCAACATAGGCTGCATAGTCTTCAAAAAGCTTTGGTTGTCCAATGGCTCTGCTTTACACCTCCCTCCACAATTGCTAATGTTAAAGACGTTAGTGCCAAACTTCTTTTGCGAGCATTAATACACAGGTAGCATTTTCCTGTTTTTCTTTTGGTTGCTGTATTGAATTGATTGTCGTAAATTGATTTTTGGTTTAGTATGGTGAAATAGAATTTTGAATTTTGCTTTAACCATGAAACCTATTTCTGCATTACTTGGAAGTTGTCTCAGTTCTAATGTCGCCTGGTTTTAGAGGTTCACCGTCTAACATTTAACCATCATTTCTTTCCTGTAGCAATATATTGTTCAGGGAGTTTGCTCTGATTTCTATGTGGAGAGTGCCGGCCATGCCCATAGGTGCACAAGAATTACTTAGTCTTCTTGCTGAGCCTTTGAAGCAGCTTTCTGAAACTCCTGATACTTTTCAGGATTATGTTTCTGAGAATCTGAAAGAGTTTCAAGACTGGGTATGCTTTTGCTTTCATACAACATTGATTATTGGCAGTCATAATATTTTCTTTACTTTTGTCTGTATGCTTATCCATATTCTCTTCTTTAAATAGAGTGAATACTACTCCTGTGATGCAACCTATCGCAACTGGCTCAAAATTGAATTAGCGAATGCAGATGTTTCTCCCGTTGAACTTTCAGTAGAGGAAAAACAAAGAGCAATAGAAGCAGCCAAAGAGACATTGAATTTATCTTTGTTATTGCTACTGAGTAAGTAAATTTGATCATATGTTCTTCTATGCACAAAAGCAGCATTCCGGACTGAGGGAGATATTTTGGTTGGCGAGTATGCAATAGCTTTTCTTCCATTGAGGGTGGATGTTTTATAACTGTCCTTTTCTCTCATCATATTGATGCCTTTGACGGGTAATAATCTTAATGCTTACTATAGGGAAAGAAAACCCTTGGTTGATTTCTGTGGAGGAGCATGTTAATGAATCGATGGAACCTCTATTTCTTGAACTGCATGCTACTGCAATGCTCCGCCTGCCTTCTGGTGAATCAATGTGTCCAGATGCTACTGTTTGTGCTGCCTTGATGAGTGCACTTTATTCTTCAGTGACTGAGGAAGTTGTCGTTGAACGTCAGTTAATGGTATGCTTATTTATCTTATTATCCAATAAACATCCTTGTTGCCCATGCTAATGTTAGATTGTTGATCTCATATGCTACTGTTTATTCCAGAATCCAAAAGGTATAATTTCATCATGTTGAACGAGTAAATTCCAAGATATACATCTCTGCACAAGGATGCCTTGGATCATTTCGAGGCTACAATCTAGATGTCAACTTCACTTAATTGTAGTGGTAATTGCTTATAAGTTGAAGGTTTGCATGTTAGATTAGATGATGATATCATTCACCAAAGTGTTGCTTCTCTAAAACCTTGAGAGAAAGTGTGAGGGAGAGTAGGTTTGCTTTAGAGATTGAGTGAGGAAAATAATTCTTCTAGTTCTAGATATTAGAAAGAAAAGCAACTCATATGGGCTGTGGTCTGATGGGAGCCATTCTTAGTAGATAACATTGCAAACTGTAAAGGAAGGAAAATGATGTTAGGAAAATAAATACGGTTTGGATCGATTTAACCTCATTAGAAGATTTAAACTACCAATATATATTATTTTGGCCAAATTTTCTGCTTGGTTTTAATGAACCTAAGATTCATGAAATTTCCTGTTAGTAATATTGTCCCTTTTCATGATCATATTTTGTCATGGGCAGGTGAATGTTGCCATTTCTTCAAGGGACAGCTACAGTATTGAGGTCGTTCTGCGCTGCTTGGCGGTAGAGGGTGATGGAATTGGTTCACACATCCTCAATGACGGCGGCCTTCTGGGTGCTGTTATGGCAGCTGGCTTCAAAGGTAAGGAACTAAGGAGATGCTGTTCTGCTGTGCTTGGTGTGCAGTTTGAGACTCTCAGTCTGTTTTACCTTTGGGAGAAACTTTACTGTGAAGTAAAGATTAAAAATTGATTGGTTATGCAGGTTGTGCAAATTCGTGTAGTTGGATGCAGGCACCTATTTTTTTTAAAGTCTTGTATGATATCATAGCTAGTCAAAGAAGGAATATAATCCGTCTAGAAAGTAATAGGAACATGGCCTTTAGTGGTAATCTTTTCTGGTGTATTGATTGAACTTGTAATGCAGGTGAGCTTGTTAGATTCCAAGCAGGAGTTACAATGGAGATATCTCGATTAGATGCTTGGTTTTCAAGCAAAGACAGTTCTTTGGAGGGGCCAGCAACATATATTGTGCAGGGCCTCTGTCGTAGGTGTTGTATTCCAGAAGTCATTCTTCGATGCATGCAGGTAAGCTTTTATATGGAAGACTGAGGCCCCTTATTTAGCAACAGAAAAATTACCTTATGGCTTTTGAGAGCTGAAAAGAGGCAGTTAGAAAAAAGCTTTTTTGGTGATTCATTAATGGAAGTATTTTCCGAAAGGCAAAAGGGGAAAGAAAAGGCAAGCATAAAAAAGCATAGCAAAATTTTGGCTTTAAAATGTATTTATGTCTTATGTTATCAACAACTATGGTCTTTTCTCTAGGAGTCTGTTTTCTCGGGATGGGTTATACTGCCCTGATTTAATTTGTAACCAACTATTGTTAATGTTATTTTGCAAAATGAAAAGAAGTGAGGACTGGAAACAAGAGAAAAAATGTAACATCATTGTGGGAATATTGTTTTGCAAAATTAATGCAAGCAAGAACAAGAAACAAGGAAAAAGGAAACCGACAGTTGTGGAAGTGCATGTTTCATGACTTTTACCATGTCAATATTTTTGTTTTTTACCATATCTTGATTCATTTGCAGGTTTCAGTTTCACTCATGGAGTCAGGTAACCCTCCTGAAAGCCATGACCAGTTGATTGAACTAGTCTCAAGTTTGGAGACTGGGTTCATCCATCTATTCAGTCAGCAACAATTGCAGGTAAGTGGATATATTATTGGTTGTATGCGAATAGGGGCTCATATGGTCCTTCCTGTTTATCAACTTTTCATCCTTCTATCTGTTGGAGCAGTGGTACATGATTACGAACTGTCCTTTTACTTCCTTTAAGGACTTGATATGGACAAATGTGATTCCAAAACCCACTCCCCTTCCCCTCAACTCATATGTGCACTCTTTTTGTTCCATTATTGTTTCACCTGAAATATGTTTAGAATAATATTTTGTAATTTGCATATGTGATTCTCCTGTCTAAATAGTCTTCTAAACCTTCAGAATTTTAGGTTCCTCTACAAAGTTGACCAGTGCCATGTTCAATAACTTCACCTTTTTCTGCCTTGCATGTGATGCCAATCTCTGTATGACATATCAACCTATGTATGTACCAGAAGACAATTCGAAAAGATAAAGTTATACCTCTTCAAATGAAGCGAGGCTCTAATTATTATAGACATAAAGGTTAAATTGCATTTTCATAGACTTTTACGGTGTAGGTCCTGGACCCTAATGCAATCAAGGCATCCCAATCACCAAAACTAGGAAAAATAGATGACGTTACTTGGAGTATGTCACTGAATTCTGTTTAATTTGTGATAGTTTTGATGATATAAATGTGGTATTTGGCAGCTGACTCATTTCATCTATCTTGGAATTGCATGGTTCCTTAAATTATTTTATTGTTCTAAATTTTTGTTCATTTTGCCACTTATGTTCTTGAGGACTATCACAATTTTGTTTAAATGACTTGCTGTTTCATGACCAGGAATTTTTACTATTTGAGAGGGAATATTCCATATGCAAAATGGAGCTTCAGGAGGAGCTGTCCTCATGATTAGCAGCTCGGGATCCAATTCTGGTTCTGTGTCATTGTGCCACACGGCGGTGAAATCTGACAGCCATACCTCTCTCCCATCCTTGGCCCCATACTTTTTGTTCAGTACCAGAAAACGAAAAGGAAGTAAATGTTGTAAATTAGATCATATGAAATGATACTTTGCCTGATCTGTTACAAAGTTATATGTGCCTCTTCCTCTATCTGGGTGGGTGAGAGTTCTGAAACAAGGAACACCTTCAATTTCCTGCATAACATGACAGTTTAGATTCAGAACCTACATAATTTGGATCATGACATGGATATTGACAAATTGAGGGTAAAGAAGTGGAAATAGAGAAATAGAAGGGACAGAAAAATGGTGAAAAACTTAAAAACCAAATCAATCATGATTTCCATGCAGGAAAGAATCACTTTGCTCCGTAATTTAATTTCGTTGAACATTCAAAGAAATCCAGTAATGTCTTCTTTTCCAGTTTTTTCTAATGCTGTGGCCATAATCTTTGACATGATATTATGCTAATAAGATGTTCGTCCAAAGCATAATTAAGCGATAGATAATCTTGGTCTTCTTTCTTTCCCTCATCCAATCCTTACATTCTGGCTAAAGTTTCATCTTGATAATGCAGAAGGTAGAGCTTTCCACGGCTCAAATTATGGTATTTCAGCGTTGACAACATCCAAAATCAAATACACAGATGGTCATTTAGCCAAATTGCAGTATTATTTAGTGGTAAAAGAGAGGTTCAAGACTGGTTATATCAGTAGGTTAATAATGAGGTTGGGATCTATATATATATATATATATATATATATATATATATATATATATATATATATTCTGTAATAGCATCTATTTGATTATTTCTAATTACTTTGCATCGTGCAACCAAAGGGGGAAGCAAAAGAAGCTATGTTATATTTAGTTACCGACTTCAACAATTATTTTACCCAAATCCAAATATAAGTGAGATTACGGAGTTAACACATTCTTTTACAATTTTTTTAAAGTCTGAGATCCGAGCCCAACCGGACGGTCGAACCAAAATTCTCTCTCTCTCTCCTCTATGTTAACTGGGCGTTGCAATTTTGATTCTTAGAAGAAAGGATTCTGAGCTCCCAAAAGCCTTGGTTTCAGTTAAGAGGACTCTTGGGCTGCAGCAACAGTGGCTAATATTTGGGGTTTTTCTCTTTCCTCTTGTTTCCCCCTCTATTTTCTTCTACTTTCTTCCCCATCCAAACACCTCCTTATTTGTACTATTAAATTGATTTTCTGCCCCATTCTCAATTTCGCCTGTATTAAACCCACCATATTTTTTCCTGCAAATTTGCTGATTTTTCTCCACTGTTCCTCCAAAACTCTTTCTGGGCTCTTAATTGTCTGAGGTCTCCACATGGTCCTAACTTTCTGTTGATCCAAACACAAACCGTTAAGGCTCAATTTCTCATGGTTCAATTCTGATAAAGCAGAGAGGCCTTTTACATGGGTGTTTCGTTTAAGATTTCGAAAACCGGTAATAGGTTCAAGCCGAAGCCTTGTCTGCAATCAGAGGTTTCAGTTGATGATGTCTCTGAGAATTCTAAAGAGAGCTCACGGCCTAGAAAGCTCCAGGTAAATTTTATGAAAACGCAGCTTTCATTTAGCTTGCTGATAAAAAAATATTGTCGGAAAATTACACAAGAAAGAAAAAAGAAGAGAAATTTTGGTAAAGGAAATTCTGGGTTTTGTTTTCTTATTTTAATTCATTGAACAGATCCTGCCATTTTCGGGGGGTTTTTTTTTTTAAGAATACAGATTATATATTTTTTTATTTTACTGGAATTTTATTGATCGATTGCTGGTAAAAGTTAGTGAGAGATTGCAGTGTTGCCTTTTTTGGTTTTATTTATTTATAAAAATTTTCCACAAGTGTTAAACTAAAAAATGAGCTTGATTTGATCGTATTGATTTATTTTCATGTAATGTTGTGTTGGCCTTTTTCTTTTTACCCCTTATGCAAACTTAATAGCCTCATATTTTTGGTGTAATAGTTACCGTAGTTGATGGGATTTTGTTTAGTTTTAATTTTGTAACTTTCTTTATAACTGGTATAAGTTGTGATTTTAGTACAACTTCTCTATCTAGTTTGATTCGTAGCCAATAAATGAGCCATGAAGCAATAGGGATAAAAAATAGTTTATATGCTTCCCCCTCCCCCTTTTTTTTCCTCTGATTATTTGGATTGTTTGTTGATCTAGGGTGATGTCATTGAAGGTGGTGAGCGTGTTGGTGGGGTATCTCAATCAATTGTTTCTGATGAAAGGCTTCGTGTTCCCGCAGGTTGAAGTTAAAATTAGTGTTTTTTTGTTGTTAGTTTTCCCTCTCCATATAGTTGATGATGTTCAGATTCCGTATGTGTTGGTTCTTTCTTGTTTTTGCAGACCATGAAATTTCCTTCACCTTGAACCTGTACGTAGATGGATATTCTATTGGAAAACCCCCAGAGGTTTGTTTAAGACAGTATTAATGATACTCTATTCATTAGAAGAAAGTTTACTGATGGGGCAGATTTTTTTGTTTCCATCTTATAAGTCACTTTTAAGTTAAAAGCAATTCTCGAATTTTCAGAAGGAGGCTTTGCATCAGGCTACTGTTCAGGATGCTCCAAAGTTGCATCCATATGATAGGTCATCTGAAACTCTCTTCTCAGTGAGTGTTTAATCTAATCTTTTTTCTGTTTCTTTTTTCTGCCTATTTCTTATTACTTTTTATCTTTATTTTTAATCCTAGAATGTTGTAAAATGGGGTCTCCTATATCAAATATATTTTGGGTACACGTTTGGAAGTTCATTATTAGATGGTAAAGTATAAAATCTACTATCTAAATGGTTCAGTTAGCAAGGTCATCGATTTGGTTAGCAAAGGAATTGTCCCATATTCATTGAGCCTTGGTGGATAGTGGATTGGATAGCAAGATCTCCTTTTTATAGGCCATGCTTTGCATCAATTATCTGTAAAAGGTGGGTTGACAAAGTAGTGTGTCCTAGGTTAGTGTCTTAATGATCTGAGAAAACAATCTTCATAATACCTGACCATAATTTTATGTTGCCTGGTAACCTAACTTGAACTTCCTTTATTTGGACTTGGGTGTTGGAACTAGCTCATACATTTTTTTTTATTCTTCAAAAGATAAGAGAATATTGACCTTTTATAAATGGTGACTATGTATGGCTGTTAATTTGCTACTCTCAATGCTTTTTTATACAAATGTGAAACATATTTTGAAGAAATAAAAAGAAAACAAAAAAAGACTTTCATGGATATGAAATAGCATGGTTTGCATTTATGTAGAAGCATGATGTTTGAATTCATTTTAGCAATTTCTCCATGTTTAATCAAGTATGATTTTGCCTTTTTTTCTTTTTTTTTTTATGCTGAGAACTATGATTTTGCTTTTTCCCATTTAGTTATAGTTTTTAGAAAAGTTTAAGTCAACAGAAAGCAAAAAGCAAGTATTAAAAGTAACATCCAAATTGACCCTTTATGATTTTGATTGGTTTGCTGGTGGATTTAACCCACTCATGTCTTCAAACTTGGTTTGAGAAACTAAATCATTTAGTTTTCAGGAAGAATTGTCTTAATTAAATGAGGCAATTACTTAATGTTACCTTGAAGTTGCAGTGTAATTACTCTTTGTAAGTTCTTACATAATATTTTTCTCTTACTGTAAGCTTTTCTTATACTTTTTCTTCCCAATTATGTGTGAATGTGCTTGAAGGCAATTGAATCTGGCCGATTGCCAGGAGATATTTTGGATGATATACCATGCAAATATGTTGATGGGACACTCCTATGTGAGGTGAGTAATAAAATTATCATAGTTTAACTCTCTGTATCATTTTATGTAATAACTCGAGTGTATTCTTCTTCATTCCATTACATCTGTGCCAGTTCCTTTCTGTTACCGGATGTCTTGCCATGAGTGCTTATAAAAGCAAGTTTCAACTCACTTGTACCAACCCTTGAACCCTGCTCTAACTTTTTATCACTACTGTTTGTATTTACACATCACTCACAAGAACACCATCTCTACCCTTTTCATTTTTCTTTTGAAATTCCAGCATTGCATTTTGTGAAAAAATAATTTTAACTTCTTTGTTGTTGTTTTAACAGAGAGCTTAGTAGGTAGCAGTTTGTGCTTTTAAATACTTTCTATCTATAATTATTAGATCATAGGTACTTTACATCCAATGAACTCATATTTAGGAATTAAAATTCATATTTTCCTTTTGAAGGTGCGAGATTATCGAAAAAGTGCACCTCAACAAGTGTCTACCATCCCATCTATGGATGGATCCCCTATCATCAATAAAGTGCGCCTTAGGATGTCTTTGGAGAATGTAGTGAAGGATATTCCATTGAGCTCAGATAATTCCTGGACTTATGGTGAATTAATGGTACATTGAGACACTCCATCCTTTGCATATTACTATTTTACATGTTGCTAAGCTGGCATACATTTAATCCTCTTTTGACTGCAGGAAGCAGAGTCTCGGATATTGACAGCCTTGCAACCACGGCTTTTTTTGGATCCTACTCCCAAACTGGAGAGGCTCTGTTCTAACCCTGTTCCAACTATGGTAATGAGTTCAGAGAGTAATGTCAAGTTCTTCTGCTTTGAGCAATCGATCTTATCTTTCTTAACTACTTAACCATGTTCAACTTGCAGCTCAACCTTGCTTCTTGTAGCTTGCGACGAAAGAGATTGAGGCATGCTCCAGAAGTTACAGTCACCTCTACTAGTAAGATCCATGGTAAGAAGGTTTGCATAGATAGAGTGCCAGAAAGCTCTAATGGCAGGCTGGGAGAGGCAGGAATTATTTCAGGGAGTTTGATGCCGCAACAAGTCCAGGAAAATCTGACTTCTCAGAATATTGGTCCCAACAATATGTTAGCATTAAGACCTAAAAGTTTTGTGCAAGATTCGTCTGTTCCAGCACTTTCCATGACATCCCAGTCACCGAGGTATCAAATGGGGGTTGTGAATGCAAGAAGCATGCAGGATCATGGGTCTAGCTCTGTTATCAATCCATCAACCGCCTCCCCTGCGGGGCAGGACATGACAATCTCATATGCTGACGGCATAAACTCTGGTGCTTCTCTTCTTGGAAAGCGAGAGAATCCAGATGGTCCGATGTCACCCTTATCTGGCCTTAATAAAAGAAATAGGCTTAATGCTGTGGGACCAGATGGGATTCCACAACAACAAATTGGGCTGCATATGGATGGCCACCATGGACCAGATATGAGCTGGAAGAATATGTTGCTGCCCCAGCAAGCAATGGCAAGAGGAATTCAATATGCAAATGCGGGCATGCAGAAGTATACTCAGCAGGTTTTTGAAGGGGTTGTGAATCAGGAGACTGGTGCAATGCCATTTGCTGCAGGACAGCAAGCATTGAGATATGGTGCCAAGGAAGAGCCATTTGATCCAGACAAGTTGGATGGCTCTGAGCTCAATCGGGAAACTGATACTAACCATTTGGACCAACAGCAGACACGACTTCAACCAAGATTACCACATGGATATGTGAGACCTGTTTTCCCTCAAACACCTTGGAACAATATTAATCAGCATGTTGAGAAAGATGCAAGAAAGGAGGAACAGTTCCAAAAAAGGAAATCAGTGCAAAGTCCACGTTTATCGAGTGGGGCTTTGCCTCAATCTCCGTTATCATCAAAATCTGGGGAATTTTCAAGTGGTTCCATAGGACCTCCCTTTGGGGCTGTTGCAACAACCACTGCACTTGGAGCATCTCAAAAGGAAAAGGCAGCGGTTAACTCAGTTCCTGCTGTTGGTGGTACCCCATCTTTGACCTCAAGTGCAAATGATTCTATGCAACGGCAACACCAGGCTCAAGTTGCTGCTAAGCGAAGATCAAATTCCCTCCCCAAGACCCCAGCAATTAATGCAGTTGGATCTCCTGCAAGTGTTAGTAATATCAGTGTTCCACTAAATGCAAGCAGTCCTTCTGTTGGAACCCCACCTTTAGCTGATCAATCAATACTTGAAAGGTTCTCAAAGATTGAAATTGTGACTATGAGGTATGATGTGAATTGAATTACTACTGCATTGGAATTTTGTGATTGATTCTAGCCATTGAATAAATATATTCCTGTTTCAATGCTGTATATAGTGTTGGCATCATCTTTGCTCAAACTTTATGGGATGTTAGTGCCTCTTATTTTATGATGCTTTCTCTAGATGTTTATTTAATTCTCCTGGGGTGACATCAGTACATGAAAGTTGGATGTGAGGCTATTATATTATGACACCTGCTTGGTTGGTACTATTTATAGTTTTCAGGAAGTAAAGTTGTATAGATGACAATAAAAATGTTATGGTTTCAATTCCAGGTATAAACTCAACAGAAAAAAGAAGAAGGTTGATGAGTACCACATCCGGAAACCCAGCACACATTCTCCTCAACAAGTATCAACCTGTCTAAACAGTGTTTCCAATAACGAGGATTTTAAAGACAGTTCAACTCCACTATCAAAGTCACTATTTGGTGGCAGCATGAATACATACAAGACAAGAATCTTAAATTTTGTGCAGGGTGATCGTGTTGTTCAAGGTTTGCTTTGTTGTTATTAGTCAGATTCTGATCCCCCCTCAAATATTTAGTGGTTTATCCCCCTTGCCTTAACCCTGCTCTACTTTAACAGGGAATGTGGTTTCTCTAGTTCCTAGGGTACGGACTAGAATGATAATGTCTGAGAAACCAACCGATGGGACTGTAGCAATGATTTATGGAGACATAGATGATGGTGACATTATTGGTGCGGAGGATTATATTTCTTATTTTCCTATGCTTCCAAATACTGTAAGTTTGTCTACTTGTTAGAATTTTGCAGTCCTAAAAGAAGAATACGCCTTTTAGACTGATTGAAAACTGCCAGGTCTCAGTTTTCGGGTGGTAAAAGAAAATCTATGCCATTTTTTTATTTTAGAGTTTTTTCTTAATATTTTTCTCTTTCTACACTCACCTCATAAATTTTCACTGGTGTACTTTTGGGTTGCTTACTGGTCTTACAAACATATTATCTTTGGTGTGCATTCAACATACCCTTAATTTCCATTGGTGCATCTTAGAGGATTTCCTGCTTGCCTAATCATCAACTAATCTTACTTCACTTCCCTGTCAATTCAGATATCTAGTCCTCACCATGTTCGGTTTAATTCATGTTTTCTTTTGAGCCTATATTTTTCTGTGTCAAAGTCAGTAGCAGACTTCAACCATATCAAGAAGAATGGAAAGAGTTAGTCTAATATGCGATTGTTTTATTAAGAAAGTTTCTCTTTGGCTGGTATTTTACGTCATCCCATTCTGGGTTTATTAATTAGGCTAAAGGGATGAATGGCTAATGAGTAACAATATAGCGAGCATCAAATTTTGTGCATCACTGCAGTTTGCAGTTTGAACAATTGAACCTTTTTATTTTCCACTTTTCTTATTTATGCAAGAATTTCTCTGTTTTTTTTCTCACATGTTCATCTGATTAATCCTGCAACAGCACTTGGCAGACTTGCTTGCGGGACAGTTCTGTTCACTGGTATGTCTGCTATTAGTCTTGATATTAGGAGTTAAAAGATTTTAGGGTACAATTATCTTTTCACTTCAATTTTATTCCAAATTGCTTGTGCAGATGCTGCGTGAAGGGCATCACCTTGTGGAAGATAATGTCCAGGCAAAACCAACTCGTGTGCTAATGGCCTCAAGCAGTCAACAAAATTCTGCTGCAACCTTTCCCAACAGTTCTGCAGTTGATATGCAGCATACAATGCAGCAGTATGCTGAAGCTGTTCCAGGTCAGGCAACCAATGAAGTGGCAAAGCCTAATAGTAGTAATAATATATCCATAAATTCATCCCCAAGTGCATTAGGAAACGCTAGGATGCTGCCTCCTGGAAACCCTCAGTCCTTACAGATGTCTCAAGGACTCCTATCTGGGGTTTCAATGCCTGCAAGGCCACCACAACTAGATGCACAACCTACACTTCAGTCACAGCCGCAGCCACAGCCACAGCAAGCTCAGCAGCAACAAGCATCACAGCAGCAGCAGCATCAGCAAAGTCAACATGCCTTGCTCCAACAACAGCATCAGCATTTCCAGAGATCACCAATGATGCTTGCATCAAATCCTCTTTCACACTTGAATGCAATTGGGCAGAATTCAAACATGCAGTTGGGTAATCAAATGGTCAATAAACATTCCCCTCTTCAGCTTCAGATGTTACAGCAGCAGCAGCAACAACAGCAACAACAGCAGCAACAACAGCAGCAGCCGCAGCAGCAGAGGAAATTGATGATGGGACTAGGAACAGCTGTCGGTATGGGAAACATGGGCAATAACATGGTCAGGCTTGGAGGCCTAGGCAATGCCATGGGAATTGGAGGTGCAAGGGGAATTGGTGGGTCTGGAATCTCAGCTCCAATGCCACCTATTTCTGGGATGGGAAATATGGGCCAGAACCCAATTAATCTTAACCCAACTTCAAATATTACGAATGCAATAAGCCAGCACCTTCGACCCGGAACACTAACACCTGCTCATGCTCATGCTCATGCTGCTCTCATTTCAAAATTGAGGATGGGCAGAGCAAACATGTTAGGCAATCCTCAATCAAGCATAGCTGGGATGTCTGGGGCGAGACAGATGCATCCAGGGTCTGCTAGTCTTTCCATGCTGGGCCAGAATCTGAACCAGCCGAACATGAACCCTATGCAACGGACTGCTCTGGGGCCCATGGGTCCTCCGAAGATGATGCCTGGGTTGAACAACCTTTACATGAACCAGCAGCAGCAGCAACAGTTGCAGTTGCAGCAGCAGCAGCAGCAATTGCAGCAGCAGCAGCAGCACCAGCAACAACAGCAACACTTACAGCAGCTGCAGCATCAGCAATTACAGCAACAGCAGCAGCAACAGCTACAGCAGCAGCAGCAACAAGAAACAACCTCACCACTACAGGCTGTGGTTTCTCCTTCACAGGTAGGCTCACCATCAACCATGGGAATTCCACAACTGAACCAACAACCTCAGCAACAGCAAGCCCAGCAACAGGCCAGTCCACAACAAATGAATCAAAGGACTCCCATGAGTCCACAACTGAGCTCAGGTGCTATCCATGCTGGCAACCCAGAGGCTTGTCCAGCTAGCCCCCAATTGAGCTCCCAGACCCTTGGTTCAGTTGGTAGCATCACAAATTCTCCTATGGAGCTTGGTGTGAACAAGAGCAACTCTGCTGGCAACACATAGCATGTTCTGAGTACTGCTTTTTTTATAAATTTTCTTTAAAGCTAATGCTTGAGCGGCCTTGGTTATAAGCCATCCTTCTCCAAGAAGAATCTGTAAAGACAATCTTGCTGGCATATGGTCTGTCAGTGGAAAGCAGTTTGATCAAAAGGACTGAGGTACTGTTTGATAAGTGTTAAAAGCTAATTCTTGAGCCGCCTGCTATCCACGGATGATTTACAATGGGGGCAGCGGTCCCCTTTGAAATCTTAAAAACTTCGAGTTGTTGGGTGTATGAATAACTAAGAAAAGTTTTTGCACTGATTATTGGTGGTATGTAATTTCTTGTAAGAGATGGGTCTGAATCCCTTTCTCTCATAATAATAAAAGTTTATAATTTTACCTCCGACAAAGTTTCATGTAGTATCACACTATTCGTATGGTTCATGTTACATGATAGGCCAAGATTCCAAGAAGAATTCACTTTCTTCAATTAAAAATTTGTTCTTTTGGTAATATAACTAGATTTCATTTGTTCAGGTACCATCTAATCCAAGTATCTAACCACTAATTTTCATTGAAATCAAAACTAATAGTGAAGATTTTAAGTGTTCAATAAAAAACGTAGTATGCATTAAAACTTAAGTCATGCAAGTAATTGGTTCTTAAATTATGATTAATTTCATATGACCTTAAAACCATGAATTTCTTTATCAAGATGAAACAATAAATTTCATAGGTATTGTAAATTGTAACACATTTCATTAATATTCTTCACAGTGCTCGATTTATAAAGTTGCAGTTTTCTCAATTGGAAAGTAGTACACCATTCCTCCAACCAGAAGACACCAAAGAGTACTCAATTTTTGATGACAGCCCAATATTAGTTATGTGATGACAGATTCCACACTTTGCTTGATGCCTAATAAATGATCTGAACAAACTTAACAAGAGGGTATACCATGAATGAAAGATTTTAAAGCATAGAGTGGAGTGCTTCATGCTTTGTTCTGACATGGTTTCTGGAAATATCCTTCACAGTGGGGCATCCAGAAAGAGCCATGGTGAGCTCAAGCTCATCCTTCAGCGTTTCAATAACCCATTTCACCCCATATTCTCCTTTTGCTGCAAGCCCATAGACAGCAGGCCTTCCAATCTGCAGCTCTTACATGTCAGTGTCCACAAAAGTGTTGAAGATTGAAAAAGCTTACAGGCAAAAGCAGTTTAATAATCCTATAAATTTCATGTGCAAGATAGGAAAATTAATCTGGTATGCGTCCAATAGGAACAATGGGATCCCAAAAGAACTTACAAGGACAGCTTGAGCACCGAGGGCTAACGCCTTGAAAACATCTGTTCCCCGCCTTATTCCTCCATCAAAAAAAACAGGAACCTTTCCTTTAACAGCATGAACCACCTGCAAACTCATGGTAAAAATTAATGTCCATACTGGTTCTATATCTCCAATAAGCATGGAAGGAGAACACCATGCCTAATGCAAATGTTTCTTGCAAGCCATGTGCAAGCAAATACATTTCTAGATTTAGAATTACAAGAACAAATTATTTTGATGAAAAGGATTCAGGAATGACACCTCTCCTCAAATTGCCTCTAATAATATTAGCATTCTTATGGTTACTAGTATACTGCCTTAGTTAGGTAACCTTTTGGGAAAACTATTCATTCAAAAGATTTCTTGTCTTCACTTGTGGGATAATTCATCACATATCTTTTGACAAAGCAAGAGCAGAGAGGTACAAAGATATTACAACTAGGAGAAGTTGCAAAAACAAATAAAAGAAAAAAACCACAGATTGAGAGAAAAAAGCTGTTAACATATACTTAACAATTGGCAATTTCATTTTCCTGCATGTACTTCACAAACAACTATGATTTTCTCTGAAAGATTATAAAAAAAAAAGAAGCAAAAAACAGGGCGTGCATTCATCAATTTATATACAATACCTAATCATGTTGGAAAACTTAAAAGCTTCACAAGCAAGCAGGATCAACAGTGAGGATTTACCTCTTCCAGAACAGAAATAGTGGCCGGAGAATAATCTAGTTGCCGAGCTCCATGATTGGAGACAACAATCCCATCAACGCCTACTTCAACAGCCTTTATTGCTGCCAATTTTGACATATCAAATCTTAAGTGTATAAAAGAGTAAACCAAAATATCCAAAAAGAAAAAGAGGGAAAAGCTTTGACTTTAAACAATCAAAAGCCTGTTGTGTTCTATAAACTCACAATGACATTCTCAACCCATTAAATAGTAAATATGAGGAAATTATCTGATTTTACTTTCCAAAGAGAGCCAATAGACCTAATCAGAACTGCATAATGGATATTTTTACTTATGAATACAAGAAAGAGTAAAGTTCTTTCTTTTCTTCTTACATACAAGGGCAGAGCATTTCAACTTGAACTTAGAATCTCTAACCATATTTTATCCTTCAAACCATCTGAGCTAAGGTGAAGTGCCAGCATAGAGGACTTATCATAAAACATGAAGTCCAGCTTAAAAAAAGGGCTCCTTTCTAGAATTCCATGGAATAAAGGTTTCAAAAACTCTTTGTGAATTATAAAAAGGAAAGTTTCAAAAAGACTAAAGCCATGGCAATCATTAGTAACAACATTTCAAATTTGAAAACTTTAGAATGTCCATTTTCATCATTTACTGTATAGGGAAAGAAACCACAATGCAACTGATTTGATGAGCCTTTTCTTACCATCTTCACAAGTAAGTACTCCCTTGATCAGAAGCGGCAAGTTTGTAATAGATCTTAACCATCCTATGTCCTGCAAATGTTGCAATGCACTGCTTCAAATTAAACAAGAACGGAAAAAACAAGGGTGCTTCCATGCCTAATGACTAACAACAACAATGAAAAATCAATTAACATATAGGAAATTCCATTAAGGACCTTTTATCATAATTTTGAGATGATGTTAACTTAAACAACATAGCTATTTAGAACAGTCCTCTGTATATTCATCATTTACTTCTAATATAAGGATGGAAACATATTCAAAAGAAGTCCAAACAGTATATGACAAGTCAATCAATCCAGTTAATTGGTTTACACTCTGTACCTTCCAAGACAAAGAGGCATCAAAAGTATTGTTGGCAAAAGCTTCTAGATTTGAACCATCATCCTGTAAATGTTCAATATACTGAATGAATATTACATGCTTACCATGAATCTCAACTATAAAATAGAACTTCCAAGGTGGAAACATGAGCACAAAGGCAGAAAGCATAAGCTTCTATATCATCAGTGAACCCCAAGATAGCATTGAGTCTTCTGGATTGGTGGTTCCACCCTCCCTGTACAGGTCTCGGGTCCTGCCTTATCCATGGGTGATATACCCTCATATGACTAGGCCAATGATAATTCTTTACAAAGAGTATACTATCAACTACATAGCAGACAATAAATTCTAAATTTCTCTGAATATGGAGATAAACATCGATGTACATTTCTTTCTAATAAATTAGTAATGCACAGACATTGCATCCTGGTATATTTAGCAATAATTACTGATAAAATATTTTCACTCACAGAGGAAACTTTAGTTGATATGAGGCCCTTAAAGTTCTTCAACTGAGGCGCAACCATTCTGCAAAAGTATGAAAATTTGTGTATGAAGGGCATAAATTTCAGCTTATTATTAAATGTGTGGACGAATGAGTTAATGTTCTCTACAATGTTAGGGAACAAAATTTGTGCCCTATCCAACAGCATATAAAGCAGTTATATCAATCTGTCAACATGAAACAAAATGAAAGAAAAGAAGCACTATGTCACTTGTTCTTAATGTCTGCCTCCCTCCGACCAAGTCTAGGAGTATCTACAGTTAGGACAATGGCCTTGTATCCACATCTTTCAGCTCTCTGCACTAAATTAGCTGTTATATCTCGCCTCTGGTATACCTGTTCACAGAAGGATAGTAAGATTGTCATAAATTCAGTTCTTGCCAGTGGGATAGCAAATCCCAAAGGATAAAGAGAAACTGCTGTCCAACAAAAAAAGTGAAGATTCACAAAAGTAGTTGAAGTAGCATCAATACATATACTTGAAAGAACCGAATAGCTTTGCAGCTTGCAGCAACCTCCTCAACTGTGCAGGTAGACATGTAGGATAAAATCTGTATTTATAACACAACTCAGCATTCACTTTTACAGGAAGCCAATGAGCCTAAAGCTGTTTATGTTATATTATACCATTATGGTATTACATGCAGCAGCTGCTCTGGCTGTGGCGACTTCACCTGTTAAAAACACAACAAAACTACCAAAATTGGTACTTGAGATAAAATTAAAAAAGACAGCTGAAGAGGAATCAAACCTTCAGGGTGTGCCAACTTATGCATTGCAGTTGGAGCAATCATAATAGGTGCTGAAATTTTGTACCCTAGAACAGTCGTTGACAAATCAATTCTGCTGATATCAACAAGTACCCTTGGCAGGATCCTGAGAATCGATGCATCCAAATCAGTAGAATGTTTTACCTAGCTAGCTACGATATTTCATATGCAGACTTAACAGCTTACTTAAATCTATGAAATGCGTCCACATTCTCTTTTAGTGTGTGCTGATCCTCAGCTCCACCACTATAGTAGTCATAGTACATTTTGGGAAGGGCTTGCCTAGCTAATTCTTGGAACTCATTAACATTAACTGGTTCGGCTGCCATTTATCCTGGAAATAAAGATATTGATACAACAAAAATTAAAAAGGCACCATCAATTTTCAATGCTCCATAGCCTTTAGTTTATTTATGGATTTTAGGTCAAACTTAAACCTATTGCAAAACCAACCTACAATAAATGTTGTTTGATCATGAAAGAACCTTGAGATATTCTTACTAGGATAAAAACCAGACTAACTTGAGAAAAGCTGGGGCTCATAAGCAGCTATAAACAGGTTTCATTCCGAAGACAATTCATAATATGGAAAATACGCAAAAGGCATATCTAATAAAACAATTACAGACACAGCAACATTTGCTTCTTGCCCAGAAAACCACGTTATTATCTTCTGCTTGATAAAAGCCTAAAAGTCTCTCTAAGTCGTAATAAAAACAATAAGGAACAGAAAAGTGAAGTTTCATACATTAATTTCAAACTGTTTGATAAAGTTTACAATTTCAGATATGTGAATAGAATTGTACCTCTGATGAATGAACTGAACTATATCAAATTGAACCTGCCGTGATGTAAAAGTTGCAACTGCAATATATGTATCAGTAAATATATATATATTTATATATATATACCTATTGGCAAGAGTGACGAGTAAAGATGACTAATTGGTCATCCTTTCTGCCATCATTGCTGCTCTTACAACTTGAGCTGTTTCTGCCAGTTTCTTTTATGATTACTTTCGATTTACAAGGTTGTCTTTGTCTTCTAGCTGAGGATAAAAATGTTTTGTTTTTTCTGCCCAAATCTTACCAAAAGGAATTAAACCTGATCCATGATGAATTGATCATTGACCCAACAGACTTTAACCTGTTTCTATCCATTGGATTTGGGCTCAAACTCAGCTCAATATTCATTGAGATTTTCTTGTTGATTCTGAGCCAGCCCAAGGAAAGTTTCGATCATAAATATTATTTTTTAATTTTAATTTTTAATATTATTTTATTTATAAACTCTAATCATTAATGTAATATTTATTAAAATTTATAAATTATTTTAAATATAATTTTAAATTTTAAATTTATAAAATCATTAATATTTAGACAAAATCTTGATTGATGGGAAAAAATTATATTCAAATAGACGTAAATCTTACTTGATCAAAACATGTTATGATCTTGATTCTTGCATCAACATAACAAGAGCTGCATATACAAATCAAGTTGGCATGTGAAACACTACAAAAACAAGGGTTCCCGTGCATCAGTCTTGCATGGATTATCCAATTAATTATCATTATTCCATCTAATCTATTATAGAAAGAGAATATTTGGAAATTTAATAATGTATGATACCTCATCTTACATCAAGCATGAATGTTACTATTAAAATTTATATAAGTGTTTAAGTCAATCACTATTAATAATTTAAATTTAAATTTTTAAAAATTATGTGATTTAAATTTGAAAATTATTAAATTAAAAACATCAGAATTTCTAAGGAATTTGTAATGGATTTTCCCTTGGGGTGAGTTTGGGTTGGGTGCATGCTTGCATTAATGGGATTCGGTTAGGCTTAGTTTGGGCGATTTTCTGTTGTCCTTGCCGTGTTACTTTTAGGTCTCCAAAAGTTTCTTGTGTATAGCACGACAAAACATAGTAAAAACTAGGTGTAAAGTCAGCAAACATCCTTTCACTACTGGAAAGTGGAAACTACACTAGTACGAGTCATTCTTAGTAACAGCCTTGTTAAGGGAAGGCTTCCACTTATTTGATACCAAATAAATTACTGACATAATCCATCTCCTGGAAATTTGTTTCTTCTGGATAAATATTAAAGCATTGAGAGGAGCTGCTCATGTTTGGTCCTGACATGGCTCCTAGTAATTTCTTTCACACTGGAACAACCAGAGAGGGCCATAGTTAGTTCAAGCTCATCCATGAGCATTTCAAGGACTTGTCTGACTCCATATTCTCCTTTCGCTGCAAGTCCATAGAGAACTGGCCTTCCAACCTACACCATACATACGTTACATACAAAAGTGGCCTATTAGTGTACATAGCAAACAAAAAAGGTCAGTACAGGAAAGATGTGAGCTCTGAGGTTCCACAATTTTACGGTGAATGTGACGGGGAAAAAGAGAAATGAACCCAAATTATAGCACGGTGTGTGTAAATTGTCTTTATTATTAGCATAACCAATTGCAATCAGATGCTACCATATAACCACTGGAAAATATATAAGTGAATGAAATATAGAATTTCTTTCTTAACTGAAAGTAGATGGGGCAGTTTAAGAGCTTACTAAGACAGCTTGTGCACCCAGGGCCACTGCCTTGAAAATATCTGTTCCTCGCCGCACTCCTCCATCAAGGAAAACAGGAACTTTTCCTCCAACAGCATGAACTACCTGTGACCTCACAAAAATGAACAGAATGGGAAATTTCCTTTGCTAACCAACATGTTGGAGCAAAGTAGCATGCTCAAATAGGAAAGCAAAAGCTGCAAGTCAAAGATTCTTATGCAGGAATGCATCAATACCTAGTAAACATGTTTCAGATTTATCCTCACTAAGAATTGTCAATAATCTCTCTTGTGCTTGCACAAGTCAACGTGGCTTTCTCTGGGGGGTTAAAAACGTAACACTGATGATCTATATGCTTAACTAAATTAGCAGATGTAAAATCCTATGGCTGCAACTGTGTCAACAACAACAACAAAAGTATGTGAAGGAAAGCACCTCTTCCAGAACAGAAATAGTGGCAGGAGAATAATCTAGCTGACGAGCTCCATGATTGGAGACAATAATCCCAGCAACACCTACTTCCAGAGCCTTTATTGCTGTAAATAGTAGTATCAATATTGAACAAGCTACATGTTAATAGCAGACAAAGACAAAAGAAAGTATGCTGGCACCAATACGTAAAGCCAAGAACAAGATGAAAAACTAAATAGAATAAAAAATACCCTGTTTTCTAAAAGTTACAAACGATGCATCTGTTTAACTCCATGAGTTTGGAGAATGTAAGAAAACAGAAAATGAATTGCTGAAGGGCATATAAATTGCTGAGTAAGTGTCCTTTTGACAAAAGCTAAAATTAAGGCAACATTGACCGAAACCAATATTCAAACTTTTGTTGTGAAAGCCTTGCAGTTCTAACGGTGGAGATGACCCTCCGTATAGTCTATCCCGTATAAATAAAGAAATAAAGAGATGAAAATATTATCAGTTGGTGACTCAAGCCTTACCATCTTCATGAGTGAGCACTCCTTTGATCAGAATTGGCAAGTTTGTAATAGATTTCAACCATGGGATGTCCTGCAGAGATAATAATGTACTAGTTAAACCAACAATTCTACCTTCATGGCTCTTATACTCACCCCACTCTTCTCCACCAACGCTAATATTAAGAGTGAACAAACTGTCCATTTACCTGAGACCCTTTATACGAAGTATTTAAACAAACAAGTAAAAGTTTGGAATGTGGGGTGGCTGAAAAATTGTGGTCCTGAGAACCGTAGAAAAAGTAACTTTTTTAAGCAAACCTCAGCTTAAACTGAATACTGAATCTGTTTGGTACTGCAATTTTGGTACAAACAAACAGTTTTGCAATCTAACCACATTGTCAAACTAAGCTTGAGAGTGGAACTTCTTTAATAGATTTTCTAGAAATATATCAGGAGATAACTTGGATTATTTACTTATTTTTACCTCCCAACAGAAAGAAGGATCATTAGTCCCATTGGCCAGAGCTTCTACACCCGAACCTCTATCCTGCAAAATTTATTTCAAGTTATATATTTGTCATCAACAAAAACATCAAACAGGCTTAATAGATGCACTCCATACCCTTCATTTTACATTAATTTTTTCAATTATCCAAAAAAAAACAGGGATATTTCATATGCCATAACACTCCATCAGAGTATAGATTTGGCATTTTATTTGGGAAAAATAAGGCAGAAAAAAGAAAAATGCAAAAGCAAATATAAGACTCAGTACTTTGAACCCCCTCTCCAAGCAACAGTGTTAAAATGAAATGGAAATGTAAATAATGATTTATCACGTAAGAGACAGGCATATGTATTTTGCAATCAATATAGCTCATTCTTCTCCTTTTTATGCTCTGCAGTCTGGACATAAAAGATACATAGTGCATTTAAAGCAATAGTTTTAGCTTAAAAACCGGATACCTACACCTTCCCACCCCCTCCCCCAGAAAAAAAGGCAGCCTTGCATATTCCAATGCAGAATTCAGCTTGGGTACGATGATTCTCTGCACAGTTTTGTCAATAGTAATGTCTAAATGAGATGCATAAAGCATAGCTTTTTGTGTACAACGTGAGTCAGAAATAACAATTCTTATCATGGTAAAACCAGAGTTCGCCTCAGTTATATAAAGCTGATTAATCTAAACAGTCAAAGCAACTGAATGTTTAGTTCATGAGTATTGGATGGGGACTATTCTACTCACAGAAACAAATTTAGTTGATAATAGACCCTCCAGGTTCTTCGGCTGCGGTACAACGATTCTGCAGAGGTTTGTCAAAAGTAATCTTATACATGAGATGCCTAAGACATAAATTTTCATGTATGATGTAAAACCACAACATTGTTTCATCTCAATGATATAATGCCAACTCAATTTTTTAGTTGATAGAAAATCAATGAAAGTGAGAATGCTGATTTTTCACTTATTCTTAATGTCTGCCTCCCTTCGACCAATTCTTGGACTATCAGCAGTTAGGACAATAGCCTTATATCCATTAATTTCAGCTCTCTGCACCAGCTTAGCTGATATATCCCGTCTCTTATACACCTATTCCGAGGAAACCAAATTAGAGTTCATTTCCTATCAATGATATTGCTCAGGACAGAGAAGAAACTGCTGCTGCTGCTAAATAATGATAAAGTCTACATGGTATCCAAAGAGCTCAGGTAAGGTCAACTATACATATAATTGGAAGAAGCGAACAGCATTGCAGCAGGCAGCTACTTCCTCCAATGTGCAGGTAGATGAGTTGGATAAAACCTGGAATTACAATTAATTGTCAAGATAGACGCAATTACTTAGGAACCTAAACACAGAAAGGAAGTTTCTTTTTGGCGAAACTAATAAAGCATGAAAAGTTTATATATATTATATTAATACCATTATTGTTTTACAGGCAGATGCTGCTCTGGCCGTTGCAATCTCTCCTGGAATAAAAGCAGAAAGCCAGTCAATAAAAGTCTGAAATAAGTTAGAGCAGAAGACTTTGGAGAGGACTTAGACCTGCAGGGTTTGCCAGCTTATGCATAGAAGTTGGGGCAATCATAACTGGCATTGAGATATTGTAACCCAATACTGTAGTTGATAAATTAATGCCGCTCACATCTCGAAGAATTCTAGGCAGAATACTGAGAAGTCAAATATCGTAATTAGTAAAACGACTGGAACAAGTTTGCTCTGAATCATTAACCAGTTTAACACAATACACGATTTTGGCGAACGCTTCCTCATTCTCTTTTAAGGTGTATTGGTCCTCTGCTCCTCCATTGTAGAAATCATAGTACATTTTTGGAAGGGCTCGCCTTGCTAATTCTCGGAATTCATTGACGTTAACAGGTTCTGCTACCATTTTCCTGGAAACATGGACGTCAGTCATGTTTGAACTTTCTGGTTTATCTGGCTTTAACTAACACTACAGTTTCAATAACAAGCCAAACGTATAAGTTCCAGAATTAATCCTAGCAGAGTTGTGATATACAGACTTTTGTTGCTAATTACTCTTAAAACAACTCGATTCTTGCTTACATATCAATATCTGATTCGCAGGACTGCACATGATGTCATTTTATAACAAGAATGAGAGCTATTTTAAAGTGCTTGAATGCCATGAAAACTAATGCATGGTGTTCCATCCCAAAAGATAATTAAAGCAAGCTGATGTTCTGAAACCATACCTATGCGAGCAGACAGCCTCACCAGAATTCTTGTGTTCTTTTTCTTAAGAGATCCAGAATTCTTATTATGTGAAGGTAGAGCCGATTGTGCGCAACAATTTCTTAATTTTAAATGAACTCGGATGATTAAAATCTCTAGTGTTGTACCTTTTCTAGTTCCCTTAATCATGCCTAACTATTTGCATGAAAACGAATCTTTATGTTAGTAGAGCACTAACGAAGAGAATTTGGTATTAAATTGTATTGACTTCTTTTAAACACGTCTCTTACCACATAAAGGGTATCTTTTTCTTTTCTCCATTGTTCCTGTATTCTGATCCATCCACATCAGTCTAAGCTATGGCCAGTTGTCGGTTTCAGAGAGTCTTTTCCAGTACAGTAGCCAACTCATGTCCTTTGTCTCGACATATAATTTTAACTTATCTCTCATTCAATAGTCATAGTACTGGGCCATGGCTCTCTTGCTGGGTTCACCAGCCTGAATCATGGAATTAAATTGACACGTACAGTCCAATTGCTGCCATGATGTGATGGATGAAGAAAACTCTCCGGTAAAAGAGAAGAATAAACTACAGATAAAGTTTATCACAAAGAAAGGTAAAACGAGGGAGAAAAATGATGAGGAAGACGGAAAATTGGGAGAGCACACCTCACCTATTTTTTTTCTTTTGTATTTCATATACATTGATTGTGATAAATCAAAACCGACCACACAATTTTTTATATGAGAGTAAAGTGATAAGGATTAACAGCTAAGTACAGAATTTTTATTAAGAATTTTGTGTTTTATAACAAACATTTAACGGTTATGAAGAAATAATAAAAATACTAGATAAATAAAAAAATATGATTTTTTTAGTTTTACAGAACCAAGTAAAATAGCATTTAGTCAAAATAAAAGAAATAAAACTAAAGTTCAAAACGACAAGTCTATATGCGCTTCATTAATTCTTTAACAATTGACTGAAATGTCACTGTTTCTTTCTTCTTCCTTCAATAAGTTACTGATTGGGCCCAATTTCATCTTCTTCTACTTTACCGGATGGAATTACAGAACTTGTAACACACATCCTTAATTCCAAATGAGTAAACTGTTAGAACACTAAACTGAAAAACTTAAAAATTGGCTTCAAGGCGTGTATCAATGCCACTATCCTTAAGGTTTTATTCGCCCCCACTTAAGTGTGCAAAAGAGTTACCGGCGTATAAACCTCGAAGATACAATGAAGCCCAATGATTGATGGCGTTTTGCACTGACGAAATCAATCCACTGAGCACTCACCGGAGTATAACAAGATTATCAAACTTCTATAATACTTTTCTGCAGGAAAATAGTATAGAAGAAAACTTGGAAAATGTTTGAGAAAGAAGATTGAGAGATATTGTTGTTTTTTCTTATTTTCAATGGATAATGAGGGTCATCTTTTATAGGCATAGATGCCTGTTCTCAACAGACACTATTTGTGTCTGTTACAAAGAGTTGCTTCTGTTGATCTTTTCCCAACAGACGTGACTCTTTATAGTGTCTATTGATTTAATTTTCAACAGACACAACCCTTCTTTTCGATATGAAATCATATTTATTTGAAAATATCCAACATAAACTCCTAGTTTGCCTCTCAAATATTCAAATTGTTCTGTGCTTAAGCCTTTGGTAAAAATATCAACAAGTTGCTCCATGGTAGGACAGTATTCCAGCTCTATTTCACATTCTTTTATGGCTTCCCTCAAAGCATGAAACTTCACTCTGATGTGTTTAGTAAGATCATGCTATACTAGATTTGTGGCAATGGCTGTTGCAGATTGATTGTCTACATAAAGTGTTGTTCCTCTATTTTGTGACAATCCTAATTCAACTAAAGTTTCCTCAACCAAAGAACTTGGTTTGCAGCTGCAACAATAGTAATGTACTTTGCTTTTGCAGATGACTGAGCTACCACTTTTTGTTTTTTAGAGCTCCAGGAAAAAACACCACTTCCAAAGGAAAAACAATAACCGCTAGTACTTTTAGAGTCATCAATACATCCAACCAAATCACTGTCAGTGAATCCTTGAAGTTCACCACTTTCAGCTCTTAAATACTTCACACCATAATCTACAATACCTTTAACATACCTAAGAATGCGTTTAGCTGCAATAAAGTGAATAGTTGCTGGAGCTTGCATATTCCCGGGCACAAGACTTGTTGCAAACATTAGATCAGGTCTGGTTGCAGCAAGGTACAATAAAGATCCAACAATGCTCCTGTAAAGTTTCTCATTTGCATTAGTTGACCCATCTTGCTTACAAAATTTGCTACCTGTAGCTAGTGGAGTTTTAGCAACCTTATAGTGATCCATGTGAAACTTTTTCAATAAGTCCTGAGCATACTTTGATTGATGAATAATTACAGATTTAGAAGATTGAATAAATTCCATCCCAAGAAAATAGGACATCAGACCTAAATCAACCATTTCAAAGTTCCTTAGCATTTGTGACTTGAACTCAACTAGACAATCAGTCTCAGGACTAGTGACCATTAAATCATCAACATACAGTGCCACTATCAAATTAACATTATCATTTCCCTTCTTTAGATACAGAGTTGCTTCAGTAGAACTTCTGATAAAACCTTGATTCAGTCAGTGAGCATCCATTCTCTCATACCAAGCCCTTGGTGCCTATTTGAGACCATATAAAGCTTTCACCAGTTTACATACCTTAGTTTCAGAACCCTTCTCAACAAAACCATCAAGTTGTTCTACATATATATCTTCCTTTAAATAGCCATTCAGAAAAGTAGATTTTATGTCAAAGTGATAGATCAACCAACCTTCTCTTGTAGACAAAGCTGTTAGCAATCTGATTGGGTCATGTCTGGCCATAGGTGCATATGTTTTCGTGTAGTCTACACCATATACCTGTGTAAATCCCTTAGCTACTAGTCTAGCTTTGTACTTGTTAACTGATCCATTCAGATTCAATTTTGTTTTAAAAATCCATTTGACACCTATGACATTGTGATTATGTGGTCTATCCACCAGCAACCAGGTTTTGTTCTTCCTTATCATAATCATTTCAGCTTTCATTACTTGTTTCCAATGCTTACCAGTAGCTGCTTCAGCATAAGAACTAGGTTCAATTATTGCCAAATGACACTTAGCATAGATGTCTTTCAAACTTCTAGTTTTTCTCACAGAAATTTCATCCATAGTTTCATCTAAGTTCAGCTCTGACTCACCTTCTGGCAACTTATGATTTGCAACAACAGAAGTTTCTCTGCTCTCAACAGACTTAGCCTCCCAGTTCCACATCCTGTCTTCATCAAATACCACATCTCTACTTACAAAAACTTTCTCCTCGTTAACATCAAAAAGTCTATACCCTTTTGATACTTCACTATATCCAAGATGGATAGCTAACATTGACTTACTGTCCAACTTGGTTCTTCTTGCATTTGGAACCTTAGCAAAACATATACATCAAAGACTTTCAAATGTTTGACTGAGGGTTTCATGTCATACTAGGCTTCATATGGTGTTTTACCTACAAGGGCTCTAGTAGGAGACAAATTTAGCAGATAGTTAGCAATATTAACTGCCTCTGCCCACAAGAACTTAAGTAACTTCTTCTCAAACAGCAAGCACCTAGCCATTTCCATCAAAATCCTGTTTTTTCTTTCTGAGACACCATTCTGTTGAGGGCTATAAGGCACTGTTAGTTAATGCACAATGCCTAACTTGCTTAAACAACCTTCAAACTCCTTAGTAGTATACTCTGCCCTATTATCACTCCTAAGCTTCTTAACAGTTAAGCTCATTTGATTTTCAACCAAAGCTTTGAACTTGGTAAATACCCGTAAGGCATCAGACTTCAACTTTAAAAAATATATCCAACAAAACCTAGTGTAATCATCAATAGAGAGCATATAGTGCTTACTTCAATTCAAAGATGGAGTTTTCATAGGCCCTCCAATATTTGTGTGCAGCAGCTACAGCTTACAAGTTGCTTTCCAGGTTCTGTTTTTTGGAAATGAAACTTTTTTTTGCTTACCGTACTGACATACTTCACATATCTTGTTCATGTTTGCCATGTGGGGCAACCCATCAACCAAGCTATTTGAAGCCATTAAACTCAGTGAATCATAGTTCACATGACTAAACCTTCTTTGCCATAATTCTGTATCAATCAAAGTGCAATTAAAAGCAATATGTTTTAAAGTCATCCAGTTTAATGGAAAGCATTTGTTTCTTGTTTCCACTGTGAATTCTATTCCAACTGGATCCTTCTAGTTCTTTCACTGCCATAGAATTCCTCTCTTAAATGATCTCATATTTCTTTTGGGTTATCTAGATATGTTATCCCAGAGAATATTTCATCAGAAACTGCAAATTGTAAGCAAGAAAGAGCCTTATACCTCTTTGCCTTGTCTTCTTCAAACTGCCTTATCTGAGCTAAAGTAGGATTAGCATGTTGTTGCTCTAATTCAGTCTCGGTCTCAACCACTTCTTAAAGATTGAAAACCTTAAGATAAGACGGCATCTTCACTGACCAGAATACATAATTTTCCCCAGTAAAGACTGGAGGAGCTGAGGTGCTAAACCCAGCTGTAGCCATTATCACAAACCAAAGCAAAAAACAGGAATTCGTAAGCAATAGTGAAAACCAACAGCAAACCAGAAATAGTCCCTCAAGACCACTTCAGTGCTCCGATACCATGAAGAAAACTCTATGATAAAAGAAAAGAATAAACTACAGAGAAAGTTTATCACAAAGAAAGGAAAAACAAGGGAGCAAAAATGATGAGGAAACCAGAAAATTGGGAGAGCACACCTCACCATACTTTTTTTTTTTTTTTTTGTATTTCATATATATTGATTGTAACAAGCCAAAAGCGACCACACAATTTGCTATATGAGAGTGAAGTGCTAAGGAATAACAACTAAGCAAAAGGATTCTAGACTTGGAATTCTGTGCTTTACAACAGACATTGCAACGATTACGAAGAAATAACAAAAATACCATATAAACAAAAAAATGTGACTTTTTAACTTTACAGAACTAAGTAAAACAACACAGTAAAATAGCGTGTCGCCAAAATAAAAGAAACAAAACTAGTGTTCAAAACGACAAGCCTATATGCGCTTCATTAATTCTTTAACCGTTGGCTGAGACATCACTGTTTCTTCCTTCTTCCTTTGACAAGTTGCTGATTGGCGCCCAATTTCATCTTCTTCTACTATACCAGATGGAATTACAGAACTTCTAACAATGGATACCACCCATATCAATTTGGACTGGCATTTCTACAAAAGGAATACCTAATCATGACGATATTAATTTAAAACTCGGGTTATAAGTTCATTAGAAATTGTCAGATTCACTGATACATGTTCAGTCTGATGGTAAATGGTTTAAATTCAGATAAGCCATAGCCTAGCACATCCTGGATTCAATTTATATACAGGCACAATCTGGATTGAAACGTAGGCGGTGCAAAGAACTGGGTGGGTATAAAGAATGTGGCAAGGATATTTTAAGCCAATGTCTATCAGCATGGACAGAAACATTTAAAAGCGTATCCTCCACCAACTTCTCCCAAGACAATTGTATAAAAAAGGAATCGGTACATAGCATTTACCAAATAAAACAGACAAAAAGCTCAATTTCTCCATTGTCCACAAGGCCATGAATTCCATGAAACCACTCAAAATTTGGACTTGTGCTCAAACCTTCCTACATTCTAAATTTTAATAATGTCCGTACCTCCAGAATCTTTTTTCCTCTGCTCCATGCAGCTCTCTCGTTTCATGCAAAAATTTACAGTTTTCTCCATAATAGCATCGTCCTTGGGCATGATACCGGCAGGGCTGTTGTGAAAGGAAGCCTCGTCTCTGTGGCGGAGTTACTGGATGACAATTGTTCATGCTTTTCAGCTGATGTCTATGATAGCTCGTCTCAGGCAACTTACTCGTTCCACTTCTGGTGGACTTGTCATTGATAGAATTCTGGTATTTATTCATATGGAAGTTAGTTTTTCTGTATTCTACGTGAAATTTATCACCCTTTTGAAGCTGAACCTCCGGAATGCTACTGCTCTGGACCGAATAACGAGGAATTTGATTTTGATAACCTTCCCATACATGAACATTTTTATACTCTGATTGAAAACTTCTAGCCTTGAAATTAGGAGAAAAACCTGACTGTTCAGGGAGTTGAATCCTTTTTTCTCTAGCAGCAACTGAAAAACCAGATTGCTTAGGTTTATTTGCAAGCCGCTGAGGTACATGAACATTTTTATACTCTGATTGAAAACTTTTAGCCTTGAAATTAGGAGAAAAGGCTAACTGTTCGGTGAGTTGAGTCCTTTTTTCTCTGGGAGTAACTGATAAACCTGACTGCTTAGGTTGATTTGCAAGCTGCTGGGGTTCAGCTAAGAAACCTGATTGTTGAGACATAATTGGTGGTTTCTCTAAATCAAAGACTGATCCTGACCCATGAGTTTGACTTGTTGGTTTTCCCGCTACAACAGTTAAACCTGACTGTTGATGCTGAGGTGCTACTATTCCTGAATTACTAGATGTACCTGGCTGTTGAGGTCGAATTTCTGTTGTTGTTGTTGAAGTTAACTGGGACTGAGTCTTGTTTCTCCCTTCTTTTTTGAAGATTCTAGAGTCCAGACATGATAAGAGTAAGTAAGATGAGATTCCAAGCGTTAACATACTCAGCATCATTTTGAACTAATTCTGAATCTTTTGAAGTGTAATCATAACCAATTTACCTATTTGCTCTGAGCATTTCCCTCCTCTCCCTTTCCAGGATCCGCACTTCTCTATCTGACCTGGCAAGTGAACCCCTTGAGTGCTTTTCCATCAAAACTCTTTGCCTCTCCCCTTCATCTTCCCATTTCTGTTGAATAGCACAGATTATTTAGCATTATATACAGCATTCATCAGACAGCTAAAAACGAAAATAGTCAAATGGCTCAAACCTGCCTCAAGGTCTTCAGTCTGTAAAGGTTTCGACCCTTGATTAAGAGGGGATGAAGAGGAGGAAGCGGTTTCTCCCCTTTGCTCCAGAGGACTTCTATCTGATCACATGAGCCACAAACATCATGTTAACTACTACCTTATCGTTGAGGTTAAATATTGCTCCTCTTACATGGGTTATATAAAAACTGCATATCTTCTGCATGCAGTTGTAGGATAAACATCAATTAGGCTCTTATCATTCTTTATCTAGCCGAGCAACATGATTGAAGGGTAATTAAGCAAATTGGTTAAGTTGACCAAAATTGTGAGAAACATGAAAAGGAATCTTGCTTCCCCACTGTCTTCTTCTATTGAACTAATGGAAAAAGAAACCAAAGAACACTAGATCTGAGTTCCGTTTTGGTGATTGCTAAGCATAACCATGAAAAAGTTGAAAAACCTTTTTGCTCAATAAGTTGAAAAACTTTTACACCTAAGCACAGAGTTTTCTTTTGGTGATTGCTGCACATAACCACGAATAAGTTGAAAAACTTTAAACACAGGAAACTCAGTATCTAGGTTGCTCAAAGTTTCACAAATATAGGATCAGTTAAATAAATCGATTGATTGATTCCGTCAATGCTCTTTCTCATCCAAATTATGCCCTTAAAATGTTATTTGAGCAATACTTGAATGTAACCTTACCAGGAAGAACAATAAACATTGTTAACATCTTATTCTCGTATTCTAATATAAGCCTGTTTATTCTAATTTATATATGGCTTTTGACTCACTGTAAATGTATGCTGCTGTTTGGCAGCACCATAGCTTTCTTTGACAATGCGGCCTGCAACAATTCTCGTACCACATGGTGGACCACTAGCACTTCGGGATGCTATGTTAAACCTGAAAGAATTAGGATACAGATAAAAAAGGCTAACAAAACATAAAATTTAGTAAAGCATAATTAGCCAATGAGTTGGAAAATAATTATTAGTCTTATAATTGTAAGTCATATGCATATTATAAAGCGCTGTCTAGATCAGAATTATATCAAGCGCTACATTGCCTTTTTTGTACAAAAGAATGATTCTAACACTTACATTTCGTAAACATTCTGCTCAAACATAACGACATCACCAGTGCACGCATCACCTGCACCAGATCCCTTTGATTCTCAGAACAAACCTATAAAGATAGTAGAAACAAATCTAGACCACCTTATGCATAAAAAAGTAAATTAAAAAAAAAAAAACTCATTAGCTGGTATAATATAGAAGGTAACAAACTGATATGGAGCGTTTTATTGATTTTGAAGATAATTCAAAAACTCTGATTTCAGTAAAGCATGAGCTAAAATATGTACCTTTACAGTTCAATACGAAGCTGGAGAGTGGATACTTCTTCTCCCCTCCACCATTTAAAATCCTAAAATAGAAAACAAAATAATTAAAAAGAAAAATTACGCAAGTCTACAAAATCATGATGCTACTAAAGAAAATGGAAATTACTCCAAATGCTCCTTTATGCGCTGCATGAGCATGTCCTTCTTTCCACTCAATCTAAGTCCATTTTTCCTCAGATAAACCTTACATTGATCTACTTTCAGCTTCTCTAGCTTCCCAGCTGCCAAGCATTGTAACAAGAAAATCACATTTCAAAAATAAACAACCAGAAAACTATTTAATTTAAGGGCAAAAAGAAATATGAAAAGCCTTCCTGATCATTCTTTTTTATTTCTCATTTCCTTTTAATGAGATCATAAGTACTAACCTTTTATAATCTTTTGAACGTACTCATAACTTTTATCATCAACCTCTGGAAAATTCATCTCCATTTCTTCTGGATCTTTCTTAATACTCAAATCAGAATCCTTAGCAACACTGTAAGTATAAACAAAAACCTATAAAAGTTAAAAACTTAAACACAACCCGTCATGCTAAATTAAGTATTAAAGAAACCCCATTAAGTACTATTACAAATGGGGATATGGGGACTTACCCTGCCCTTGATTTTTTCTTGATGGAAAAGTTCTGGAGCTTGGCACGAGTCTCCTCTTCAATGCTATAACTTGGATCAGTACCCGAATCATAATCCGGGTCCGATCCATGATTACTACTGTACTCTTCTTCTTCGAATCCTTCATTGTAATCTTTAGAGCTTTCTTGGTCAGAGTCAGATATTGCCATTGATGAGCCTGATACTTTGTTTCGATTTTGGGGTCAAGGCCTTCATAGAAAAAGAATTTGAAATTTTGAAGTGTGATGGACGTTGGGAAGTGGAGATGTTTTAAAATAGGTCAAATTACGAATTTAAATAATCTAAAAATATGGGATTTAATTTATTTATTATACTTAATATAAATTGAGTTTACTTAATTGACAAGCAAATAATACTTTCTGGAGCCGCTCTATCTTCCTCCATTATTTTCATGATATTTTGTAATGTTTTACTTTTGCTCTGCCATGTGTGGCTTTTATGCTCTTGAAATTGTAATTATGGTGCATTGTACTTAGATATTATCGGTGGCTTTGCTGCTCACCTATAAGGGTGGCATTGTGACTCTATACTGTTTTATCAATAATGTATAAAAACTCCACTTTGACTGAAAAAAAATATTAATAAATTTGATTTGGATGAATTAAATTTTAATGTGAATTTAGTTTAATTTACATCTAAATCTAAATTTACATAATTAAAATCAGATTATATCTTTTTTTTGAATTGTTTGATGTACCTGAACTGCCTGATCTAAAATTTTAGATAATAACATGATAAACATTCACACATATATTCATATTATAAAATTATTATTTAATATATCTCGTATCATTTATGAATAGTCAATAGTCTCAAACAAAATAATGTTAGAAATGGATCTATGGCGTCCTTCCACTTGAGGAATGAGTAGACTACAATGTTTTCATTCTTAGTAGCAACCTTGTTAAGACAAGGATTCCACTTATTTGATGCCTGATAAAAATTATTGGCACTGTCCATGCGTAGGACATTTGTTTCTTCTGGATGAGTACTAAAGCATTGAGAGGAGGTGATCATGTTTGGTTCTGACATGACTCCTGGTAATTTCCTTCACACTAGAACAACCAGAAAGGGACATAGCAAGTTCAAGCTCATCCTTAAGCATTTCAAGGACTCGTCTGACTCCGTATTCCCCCTTGGCTGCAAGTCCATAGATAACTGGCCTTCCAACCTACAACACACATAGCATAGTTAGAGCACATAGTGAACAGAAAAAAGGTCAATGCAGGAGAGAATGCAAGATGTGTAGTTCCACGATTTAAACTTGAAGGTGAATGTGACAGGAAAATGAGGAATGAACCCATATTGTAGCCTTGTCTCCTTAAACCCTCTTTAATTTATTAGCATAACCAATTGCAATGAGATGCTATTGCATAACCAGGTGGATACAGAAATGAAACATGGGAGTTGTTTCTCGTCTGAAATGATATATAGTTAGAGGTTTAAGAGCTTACTAGGACAGCTTGAGCACCAAGAGCCATTGCCTTGAAAATATCTGTTCCTCGCCGCACTCCTCCATCAAGGAAAACTGGAACTTTTCCATCAACAGCATGAACCACCTGCGACCTCATTGTCCACAAATATGTATGAAGTAAACAGAGAATTTTCCTTACTAATCCAGATTTTGTTGGGAAGTATCACCCTCAACTCATATTCTATAGCTGCATACTATACTGATAACAATGATATGTAAGGAGAGCACCTCTTCCAGAACAGATATCGTGGGAGGACTATAATCCAGCTGGCGAGCTCCGTGATTGGAGACAATAATCGCATCAACACCGACTTCCAGCGCCTTCATTGCTGTGAATGGTAGTATCAAACTTTCAAAAAGCTATTCATCAGCAGCCAAAGCCAGGAGAAAGTGTGAAGACAGGAATACATATGCATGAACAAAATAAAAAATAAGTTGAATAAAGTATAACCTGATTTCTAAAGTTAAAACTGATGCATTTGCTAAGCTCTTTGACTTTAGCTCATGTAAAAAAGCAGAATCTAAATGAATCTGCTGAAGGGCAAGGGCCTATATATATATATATAGCTGAATAACAGTGTGTTCAACTAGAGTCTCAAGACTTCAATGGGGATCCCAAACTAAAAAAGGCAGTGCCTCAGCCTTACCATCTTCTTGAGTGAGTACCCCTTTGATCAGAATTGGCAATTTTGTAATAGATTTCAACCATCCGATGTCCTGTAGAAATGACAATGTACTAGTTAAACCAGTAACAGCGCCGTAGTTCCAGAACAATTGTTCTCACTTCTCATATTCACCTCACTCTTGCCAGGCAACTATAATAATATTAAAGAGCCAAAATAATTGCCCATTAATATCTGTGAGGACCTTTAAGCAAAGTACTGAAACAAGCAGCGAGGGTTGGAAAAGTGTGGACGAAAGACCCACAGTAAAAAGACACTCTTTTACTCAAACCTAAGGTGAAGCTGATTATCTCTAAGCTGTTTGGCATTGCAATTCTTGGCCAAACAAATGCAATCTAAACATATTGAAACTAAGCCTAAATTATTTATCTATTAGTATCAGTACTTAATTATCCAGGTGATAATTAGCAATGGGAAAGAATGAAACAGGAAGGAGGGTGAAACAAGCCTGAGAGTAGAACTTCTGCAATAAATATCATAAAAACATATTACAAAATAACTTGGATGATCTGTCAATCCTTACCTCCCAACAAAAAGAAGGATCACGGGTCCAATTGGCCAGAGCATCTAGATTTGAACCTCCATCCTGCAAAATCTATTACATGTTATCTACATTTCATGATCAAAACCATCTAACAGGCTTAATAGATGTAGTCCAATCCCTTAATTTCAATTAATTTCCTTTGGTCATTTAAAAGAAAAAGGGACAGGTTATGTGCCACATAACTGTCGGACTGTAGAATTGACATTGTATTGGAGAAAAAGACAAGATAAAACCAAAGCAAAAGCAAAGACAGGATGTAGTCCTTTGAACAACTCTCACAAAAACAGTGTGGTTTATCCTGTAAGAGACAGTCCTACGTATTTGAAAATAACCATAAGCTCATTACTTCTCTGTTTTATGTTCTGCAGTCTGGACAGAAAGATGCATAGTGCGTTTAAAACATGGTTTTAGCTTAAGAAGCCAGATGCCCACACAACCCAGGAAAACTATTCTGATGCACATGCAGGATTGGGATTATTCTACTCACAGTGACAATTTTAGTTGATAATAGACCCTCAAGGTTCTTCAGTTCAGGCACAATGATCCTGCAGAGGTTTGTCAAAAGTAATGTTTCACATGAGATGCATAAGTCATAGCTTTCCTCATAAATTGTAAATCAGAAATAACATTACTTGTCATGGTATATAAACCACATCAGTGTATCATCTCTATAATACAAAGCATATTAATCCAAAAAATTAAAAGCAACTAGATCTTTAGTGCCTGGAAACACAATGAAAGAGAAAATGCTGATATTTCACTTGTTCTTAATGTCTGCCTCCCTGCGACCATGTCTTGGAGAATCACCGGTTAGGACAATAGCCTTATATCCATTATTTTCAGCTCTTTGCACCAGCTTAGCTGATATATCCCGCCTCTTATACACCTATTCAGAGGAAAACCAAATTAGGTTCCAAATCCTAGCAAAATGATACTTATGGGACAGAAGAAATTCCGGCTGCTAACTAAAGACAGCCTACATGGTAATCGTAAAAGAGCTCCAGGCAAGGACAAATACATATAACTGGAAGAAGTGAACAGCATTGCAGCAGGCAGCTACTTCCTCCAAAGTACAGGTAGATGAAATAGATAGAACCTGGAATGAGAATTTAAAGTGGAAACAGACATTAAAATCTAGGCACCTAAAAGTTCATATATATGTATATTGTTAATACCATTATCGTGTTACATGCAGATGCTGCTCTGGCGGTGGCAATCTCTCCTGGAAATAAAACAAACAGCTAGTCAATAAAAGTTAAAAAAAGTTTAAAAGAATTTGTTTTAGTGGACTCAGACCTGAAGGGTTTGCCAGCTTATGCCTAGCAGTTGGAGCAATCATAATTGGCATTGAGATATTGTAACCTAATACCGTAGTTGATAAATCAATGCTGCTCACATCCAGAAGAATTCTAGGCTGAATACTGAGAATTCACAGATAATAAGTTAAAATGACAAAACCTATATGCTCAGTCTTAGAGTCATTTAACCAAGTTAAGCCATTACGTGATTCTATGAAATGCTTCCTCATTCTCTTTTAAGGTATATTGATCCTCTGCTCCTCCAGCGAAGAAATCATAGTACATTTTTGGAAGGGCTTGCCTCGCTAATTCTTGAAATCCATTGACATTAACAGGTTCTGCTGCCATATCCTAGAAACATAGACAATGTTTTAATATTCTGCTACATCTAGCTCTAACTGCCACTGCAGATTCAGTAACAGACCAAAGCTTAAGTTCTGGAATAAATCTTAGAAGAGTTGTGACGTGCACACCTATGTTGCAAGAATAACTATGATAAGCAAATCCCCTTTTGAGGCTTCTGACAGTTTTGCTGTTAATGATATGAAATCATAAATGGTTATATCATGTAAAGGGCCCTCAAGCACATTAAAGATCATTTACATACCAACCATGAAAATTGGCAAAGGCACTCCAGAACTAATTAAAGAGAATTTGCAAATGATGTGTAATATTTTATTCATTGACAGATGGGAGTTGGGGAGCTGTGGCAAGATTCAGGTACAGACATGTAGACAGAAGCCGATGTGTATAGCAATATGATCTAATTATTCTTGGCAACGCTCAAATATCTGATTCGCAGGACGATATATAGCACGATGTATTAGGACAATTGCAGAGTGCTTGAATGCCATAAAAACTAGCGCATAGTGACTCATCAGAGTATGCGCTGAAGTTCAGAAGATAATCAAAGCAAGTGATCTTGCGAAAAACATACCTATGAGAGCAGAAAACCCCTCCAGAATTCTTATGTTATGTGAATGATAGAGCAGGTTCTGTGCAATAATTTCTAACTTTGAAGTGAATTCTGTTTATGCAAATCTGAAAACAAAATGTTTATGCGGAAAAAACAGATGCCTTCTTTAATTTTGCAACCTCTACCACCTTAAAAGGGGTAAATTTTCCTGTTTTCTAGTCAAACGAATTGGCTAGAATATCAAGGAATCTTTCATTGTTCAGTAGCCAGGCCATGTCCTCTTGTCTCGACTTATGGTGTCACCTTCTGTTTAATAGTTATATTAATATTAGTGATGGGCCATGGTTCTGAATTGGAAGTGAACGAAGAACTTAATACAATAAATCCTGGAAGCAGAGAAAAGTAATTAAATACATATCACTGTGTCACGGGGTGAGGAACGGAACTGATGTCACGGTCAAGAGTTCAGACAGCAGCCGAGCAGGCGAGCAGCACAGACTGCACATGCAAGCCAGGCAGTCCATCAGTTTAGTAGGCCAATAGGCCCGTCAAGAAGTCTGGCCCATGTATGAAGGGCGTAATGGTCCGCACACACCTTAGAGTTTGTTCGGATTTGAACTTTTGTATATACCATGTATATGTATGTAAATTTGAATACATTTGTTACCATTTGATTTAAATTTGAATAAATCTTTTTGAATTTAAATATTTATATCTTATATTCTAATCTTATCTAATAAACATCTCATCTACTCATTTATTATTATAACACACTTGAGAAATAAGAAGTTTTTTCATTTCTTTAAAGCTCTCTTCTTTTTTTTTGGCTTTTACTTTTGTGGGTTTTGAAGTTTAATCAAAGCTCAATTTTCAAAATTTCACTGCATAAAATTATCAAATATTTACGAGACAAATCCCATGAGTGCAATCTATTGAGTGCAATAGATATTATATTAAATCCATTATAGTATTTCTAATTAACTGTTTCTCCAAGGTCATTTGACCTACTTTAAATGCTTTTAACTTTTAACTTTGAGTTGATTTCAATGAAGAATTTAAGATCAATTATTTGAAGTATTTTTGTTATACTATAATATAAACATTTGATTTAGTAAAAATTATTACAAAATTTATAAATTTTGAAAGTCAAATTTGAAAATTGTCACCGTAATACACAAAATGGTTTAAATATTTAAAAGACCACCCAAGTATAGAACAAAAAGGTAAACAAAATGTGGGGTTTTGGCAATTCAAAATTGAATTGTTACAATTGTTAAAATAGGTGTTTAATCAACTTCAAAAATTAATCTCTCTAATTACTCAATCAAATGAATTGTTATTAAAACCATTAAGAAAGTCCCTTCAAGACCCTGCCGTCAATGCTTACAATGTCATGAAAAAGTCATAGGAGCGGCACCTATATTATTGGAAAGTCAAAAAAATTTGAAATAAACATAATGTTTTTGTGTAAAATTGTACAAAATACAAGAATTTTATAAAATTAAAACATAATCTTATTTCAAATTTTCAATTAAAGAAAAAAATTTTCTTAGTTTTCAACCTCTATTTCACTCTTAGGAAAATTGTTTTCTCAATTTCCAACAACAATAATTATAATAAATCATATGGATATGAAAAATTTATTTACATAAATCTTAATTCCCATGTTGCTAGCCAAAGTGAGCAATGGCAATGAAAGAAAGGAAAGGAAAATAAAATTCAACACCAAAGAGAAGATGGAAAGAAATTAAATTGGTTAGAATGTGATCGAGGATAATGTTGAAGTTAGTGTTTCTGTATTATTTATTTCAACTTAGGGTCCGTAAAACATTTTACGGGTCAACAAAAACAAAAAAATACCCATTAATTACGTAAAATGTCTTGCACCCTTAAAAAGCGTAAGACATTTTCTAGAGGATAAAAAAACATTATTGTACTAAATCTAGCTATATAGGATAGATGAAAATTAATATTTAACTTAAAATATTTAAAAAATTAAAAATATTAATATTTAACTGAAAAATGTTAACTTAAAATATTACTATTTAAATTATTCAATATTATTATAATTAACAAAATGGTTTTTAATGAAATCATTCAATGCAATTAAAATTTTTAGTTATAAATTCAATAAATCTTACTAATAATTACAATAGAAAGTATTTCAATGATCGTATTTGATTAATACACATTTATAAATATAGATTTTAGATGTATTATACAATAAATGAACATTGATATTTTTATAATATTATGATAAAAAATGAGGAGATGGAAAATTTTTTGAAATTTAGAGTTTACTATATATGGTTAAATGCTTCAAAAAATATTCTTATTTATTTTATCTATTTTCATTCTTATTTTTAATTTTGATCCTAAATTAGTGAAAATCAAATGAGACCATTGTTTCGTAATAACTCTTATTTATCATTTTAACATCAAACTAGAAGGATTTAAATTAATGCTTGGTCAGAACAAGGTTTATAAGTTGCATAAAGCCTTGTATGGCTTGAAGCAGGCACCTCGCTCTGGATATAGCAGAATCAATGCTCATTTGACACAACAAGGCTTTGTAAAATGCATGAATGAAGCTACATTATACACACTCAAAAGTCAGGAGATAATGTGGTGTTGATTGTGTCCTTATATGTGGACGAGCTGCTAGTTACTTGAAGGAATGAAGAAGCACTCTGTAAATTCGAACTCGAAATGCAAAAAGAGTTTGACATGACTGATTTAGGTCCCATAAGGTATTTCCTTGGTTTGGAAATTCATCAACTTAAGAATGGCATCTGGTTATCTCAAAAGAGTTATATCTCTGAGGTACTCAAAAGATTTCACATGGACAGCTTCAAACCTGTGACTACACCTCAAGTTGCAAATGTTAAATTCTCTGCTAGTAGTGGGAAGAGACTTGAAGATCCTTCCATTTATAGGAAGTTGATTGGCTGTCTTCTTTATATATGCTCCTCTCGACCTGATATAATGTACTGAGTAAGTTTTTTGTCTTGATTCATGCAAGATCCAACAGATTCTCATTTTGTTGTTGGCAAAAGAATGCTGAGATTTCTCAAAGGGACTTTAGAGCTTGGAGTTCTCTTCATTCAAATGGATAACATCAAGCTCATTGGCTATTCAGTTAGTGATTTTGCTGGAAATATTGATGATACTAAAAGCACTTCTGGATATGTCTTTACTCTTGGCAATTGAGCATTTTCATGGAACTCTCACAAGCAATCTGTTGTAGCCCAATCTGCTGTTGAGGCTGAATATATAGCCTCTGCTGCAGCATCAAATTAGGCTATATGATTAAGGAAAATGTTTGCTGACTTGCAGTTCCATCAAATCAAGGAAATGATTTATTTGTTGATAATAAATCAGCCATAGTTATTACCAAAAATCCAGTTTGGCATGGCAAAACCAAACACATCAATGTAAAGTATCACTCCATCAAAGATGCCGAAAAGAAAAGGGAAATATGTGATCAGCATTGTCCTTCAGAATTGCAGCTGGCAGATATCATGACCAAAGCCTTGTCAAAGGCGAGGTTTGAAACACCCAGAGACAAGCTAAACGTTTGCAATGCAAGTGTTAAGAAGGACAGTTGAGAACAACACTTGCACTTGTATGGTATCTTGTAAGGCATTTAAGTTAAGAGCCTTCTACAATATATCCTCATGTATATTTGCATGATGTTCACTACGTGTCTTCCTTCTTAATCTTGTTTGCTTCGTTGTACTGGTATTTTGAGGATATGCTAGCTGTTTCCCTCAAGACATACATGTAGTCTTGCATGTGTTAAGACAACTTTAAGCTAAACACTTGTTTGAGATATGCTTACAAGTGTAAGCTTTGTCTGCTATGTATATAAATTTGTAATTAAGAATAATGCAATACATGAAAGAGAAAACGCTCGCAATTTTCCTCCTTCTACTACTATTATCTTAAAGCCGCTGTTTTGTATGCTTAAAACAGAGGCTGTTACAGAAGCCTTGGTGAATGCCTTGATTTTACCAACAGTACATGCATCATTTGCCGTTGGATTAGCATTGGAAAATTCTTTGCCTTGATAGCACTGCCGAGTGGAGTGCCAATGTTTCTCACAGATTTGGTAGAAAATATGCGGTTGATTAAAACACTGGCTTGTAGAGAAGACACCGGATTTTTTGATAACCACCATGATGTTGAAAAGATCGCCCACGATTTGGAATGGACTTAAAGTGATGAGTGTTGTTGTTTGTCTTGGTGAAGTTTGTTGTGGCAATATAAAGGAATCACCTCTAGATTCCTGTTGCTCAAACTCTATCAACTTGTTATGCAATTCTTCAAACGCAATGGAAGTTTCAGGTGCACGAATTGCTGCTGCAAGCTCTTTACATGTAGAATGTAGTATCAATGCCACTTAGAATATGAAGAACCAAATCATCTTCTTCAATAGCAGCACCAACTAAAACAAGTTCATCAACAATGCCCTTCATGATTTGAAGATACTTTGCAACCAAACGACCATCCCTTTTGGTATTGGTAAGAGCATTTTTTATCAGTCTGGTTTTACCTGCATATCCAAACTAGTATATGAGTATTTGGTTCAATAATAAATGTATGTAGTCTCTATTCAAAGAGTTAATTCGAATTTCCTTTTTCAAAAAGTTGGGTTCATATCCCATTTAATCGAATCCAAAAATGAAAATCCAAACCTTGAATTTTTTTGTATCCCCAAGAGAGAGTGCATTATGCATGAACACTGCACTTTCATTGTAAATCTGTTGGGTGTTACTGACTTGATATATGACAAGTTGGATGTATAGGTTTTTTCCTTTGCCCTTTTTTGGCAAAAACATGCCTTTTTTCAGGACTCCAAACTTTGTGAAATATGACGAATTTTAACATTTTAGAAATTACTACTAATTAATAAAGAAGTCTGTTATGCTATGTCCAATGAAAACTTTTTTAACTGCATTCCCCTTTACGTAATGGATACTTAGATTTCATGCATTTTGCATTTATATTTTTTATAATTACTCTCTGTCTGACGAAACAGGTTATATAGTCGCAGCATTTTGAATACTCTTCCATCCGTTTGTCTTTCCTTTGATCTTCAATTCTTGTTCATAGGTTGATTCTCAGCTCTCCAATAGCAACTCCGAACTCTCTCTATCATTGTCTGCGACTGTGGGGGCTTCAGGCCTTCTCATTCCATTCCTAGGTCGTTTCTGGGTTATCATCAACTTCTATATTTGGTTTAGCTGCTGGTTCTGATCTGCTTGTTGCGTGAACCATTCATTGATTTCTTCCATGGCTGCTTCTATCCTTGCCTCTCCGCTTTGTACATGGCTTGTTGCTAGTTATACGCCTAGGCCTAACAAGAAGAACCACCCTGTAAGATCTCCTATGTTTCAACCTCCAAAGAGACAGAACCAGGGGCTCACTCCCAAGAAGCTTTCTCCAGAAAGCTGCGACAGAGGTAACTAATGACAGTTGCTTTCTTTTTAATTGATTTTACTGCAGGCATATATGTATAGCTTCTAACTGTGACTACTTTGTTATGCTGTCAGGTGAAACAATGGCTATTTCTGTACAACCTGCAAACAAACTGACAACAGAGGAAAAGCCTCCAGGGCAGAAGCGACGGGTTGTTGTGACAGGGATTGGAATTGTAACTGCGCTTGGTCATGATCCGGATATATTTTATAGCAATCTTCTTCAAGGTAGTAGTGGAGTAAGTGAGATTGAAAATTTTGACTCTTCTCAGCTTCCAACGGTATGACCTTTTAGTCTAAATGACCTATAAATATCTATAGTAGCAACTTAATTTGCTGAATATTGATAATTAGTCTAGCTCGTGTTAACAGAATATTGGTGGAGAGATCAAGTATTTCTCGGCAGATAGTTGGGTCTCATCAAAGCTTGCAAAGAGGGCAGACAAATTTATGCTTTACCTTCTCACTGCTGGCAAGAAGGCTCTGGCAGACGGGGGGATTACAAATGAAGTTAATAGGGAGCTTAATAGAAGTAGATGTGGAATCATAATTGGCTCTGGACTGGGAGGTTTGAGGGTAAATAAATCTTTTTTTCCCCACAAAAGTGTGATAATTTTGTATCATAAAACTTACCAAAAACCTTTTTCTTCGTAATCATTGAATAGATAGAGAATAATGTTGAGCCATTAATCATGAGATCCCCTTCGATAAAATAAATTGTTCAAAGACTAAAATCGAGGATGACGTATAAAATTTATTTTTTTTATGAAAAATAGAATTTCATTGATGTCAGGAGTAACTCTTCCTACTGATAACATAGAGAGGATTTGAAGTCTTTATACTTGTTCATGTAAGGCATAGACTTAAAAACCTCAACATTGCATATACAATAATCTAACATAGCAGTGCCAACCAACACAATCAACAAAACCCCATGCCCATAATGTTTACAATTTAGCCAAACAATACAACGGGGCACACAATTCAATCTAACCACAACCTAAAATGTTGGCGAGTATGGAATTCATTGCACATTGCATTATTACTTATACAAGAAATCAATTACAGCACTAGCATCAACCTTTCTTCCATTACTCATGTTTCTAACGGTATTGGGGGCCGATTTCAAACAGATTTTCCACGAATGGATTGAAACGATGATGACTTCATCAAAGATGCCAAATCCTTTCAGTCTACCTCTGACAGCAAACAACATGGGTTCCGCAACACTAGCAATGGATTTGGTATAGCACTAGACAAATCTCCTTGTGGTAGACTAGAGTTACTCTGACGTTAAAAGCAGCATGAGTAGATGCAACCTTCTAGCCACTTACAAGATGCCAAATTACAGGGTTGGATGGGTCCAAACTACGTAATCTCTGCAGCTTGTGCAACAAGTAACAATTGTATACTTAGTGCGGCTGGTCATATTATCGAGGGAGAGACAGTGAGTAGCTCACTTCCATCTCTTGTGGGCATTAGCTGGAATTTTCTCATATATATTATACATTGATATTGAGATGAAGAAAAGCCTTGTTTTTGTCAATAATTTTTCTACAAGACTTGTAATACCAGGCCAAACATCTTAAGGTAGTGCTGTATCTAATTTAAGATGATTTGCAGGATATAATGCTTTGTGGTGGTTCTGATGCAGGACTTCATCCAATAGGTAGCCAAAGCCTTCTATACCCTAGATTTACCAATTGAGTTTTAGTTCATGGATTGCCAATTTTCTTTGATTATTAATTTTGAGTTGCAGGGTTGGGAGGTATAGCATCATGCAGAGTTCTCTCACGGAGGAATTGTGATCCGACCAAAGCTTCACGCCCTTGGGACACTGTAAAAGCTTCCAACATCAAACTTTCTAGTTTCTGCTTCCTGCATAACATTTGGATTTCGTAAACTACTTCTCTTAAACTCTAGTATGCTTCTTGAACACATTTGTTAATGGGGACGCTAGATTTACCCTTTGTTCAGGACCGTGATGGAATTGTCGTTGGAGATGGAGCTGGGGTTTTGCTTATGGAGGAGTTAGAACATGCCAAGGTACACTTGAGTGTATCCTTCCAAAAATACATCTCATTTTTCATAATCATCCCAATATTTAACTTTTAAATTTTTCCACACCCATATTTGTTTCATATGTCGTTCTTGATATGGCAGCAAAGAGGAGCAAAAGTTTATGCGGAATTTCTGGGCGGAAGCTTTGGTGCCGACGCGTATCACTTGACTCAGCCCGATCCTAATGGTAACCAAACAAACATTTTCAACTCCTTGCTGTAGAAATGCTGTTTAAAATCATAGCTTCCTTTCTGTTCTAATATTTCTCCTTTTTCTCCTGAATCATCTGGTAAATTTAAGTACCCATATTTTCAGATTCTCATAGTCTTGTACCTATATTTCGTCTGCTTTCAACCTTTTTTTTTTTTTCTTTTTTATGTATTTTTTCTGTTAAAAGCACTTATGATAGTTTGTTCTTTTGGCCTTCCAACACCAGGGAACGGAATGGTTCTTTGTCTAGAGAAAGCATTGGCTGATGCTGGAGTGGCCAGAGAAGATGTAAATTACATAAATGCACATGCTGCATCTACACAAATTGGTGATCTCAGAGAATTCCGAGCGTTATTCCGTTGTTTTGGCAACAATCCTGAGGTCAAAATTAAATACTACATACAATTCCGTTGTCAGGCACACAATACTAAATCTTGATCCTTGAGTCCTCATTATTACTGTATGCACTCTTCCATTGATCTGCAGCTAAGAATTAACTCTACCAAGTCCATGACTGGCCACCTGCTTGGAGCTACGGGTGCTGTGGAAGCTATTGCAGCAATTAAGGTTATCCATCGGCCACTGAAATTGTATCACGTTGGACTTAAATCTCATGCTTAATGCTTTTTGGGAATCAAAAACCACAAAAAAGTGGCTCTACCGCTACGGTTAGATTCTAATTTGGGTTTTCCTTCTCAAATGTAGGCAATACAAACAGGGTGGATCCATCCAAACATCAATCTCGACAATCCTGACAAAGGCGTGGTATGAACTATGAACTATAACATTTTATCTTCTTAAAGTTTTTTTGGACATTGGCAACTAGGAGATAACTCCCTGGAGGCTAGAAGTGCATGAGCCTCTGTGGTAAATTAAGCCACGGAGCCCAAACTAGTGGCTCAGCACCTTATATTATCCAAAACCTGAACAAGTTTATACGAACTGAAAGTTTAAAATGTGCTATTTCAGGACATAAATCTTCTTGTTGGCCCAACGAAGGAACGATTAGATGTTAAGGTAGCACTGTCCAACTCCTTTGCCCTCGGTGGACTGAACTCATCTATCTTGTTTGCGCCTTACAAATGAATCGAAAGCAACACAGCCGACAAAGCCGTTGAGCGTTATTGTTTGGCAAAGAGCCACCCGACCACCACACAAACTCAGCTGCTGTCACCTTATTTATGAAATGCCTACTCGACCAAATATTAAACAAGGGAAAAGGTTCATGTTAGATTAATCGATCTACTGATGAGAAGCCACACTATTTCTCATAATTGATATTATCCTCAGTACATCTTTGCGAGCACAAGCAGAGAGAATTACATCAAGTTTATAACTGAAAAATATAAATAAAGAAATGGAATACAATTTCTGCTGGAACAGGGATGGAAGTGAGGCAAAATAAATCATGATGCTAACATGGTTATATCATAGAATAAGAACTACTTTTGATGTATCTTACTAGATCCTCTTCGTAGATCTTGCCTCCTTTTTGCCATGGATTAAGAGTAATTAAAAGCTAGTAAATCCATCAAACAAAATGGCAATGATGTTCTAGTACTTAAAATAAATACGACAGGAAGATTTTGAGTAGTTTACTATTCGCTATCGTGTTCCAGCTTTTACATGTAGAAAGGAATAGTTTTGTCTTTGAACATATGCTCTTAAAAGAGGGTCTCTCCTTCACAATTCCACATTGCAAACTTGTCCCTATGCTTCGCCGAATTGTGTGATGAACAAAAACCAGAATTTACTCCAATTTTTGGTCTCTGGAGTGTGGACAACAAGCTATCCACAGCAACGCAGAGAAACCCAAGAAATTCCATGATGAGTTCTTACAACTATGAAGCACAGTTGAATCACCATAGCTTTGCTTTCACCCAGAAGAGGAGGAAAACAACTCCTAACACAACAGCAACAGGAGCCCACTTCCGAATTAAAGCCTACAGTCAAATTGATAAAACAAATAAAGAAGTTTCAAACTTTAGTATTGCTGACAACCATGATGTCTAAAATTAATCAAGAAAATTGCAAAAATAATCCAGCGAGAAGCACATGGAAAACTGACTTAAGCTCTTGCAAAAGAGACCTTCATTTGAAATAAAAAAGAAATCAAGATTCAGTAGAAGGAAACTTAAGCAACAAACTTAAACCATCTCTCATGCGCGGTACTTAAGGCAACTTCGCTCAAACTGTACTACACAAATCATATAAATGAAAGCTTCCTCAGGTTCTTTGCACTGATTTTCTTTTAAGGCGGGATGCATTCAATCTTCATTATAAAGTTTAATAAAGAAACACTTCATGTAACTACTTCATGCTAGTTTTCATGCTCAGGGAGTCATTGTGACACTGATCAAGCATATTATATCAGTCACCAATGTTTTCCACCAAGAACATCATATCTTAGCAGCACAGGTTTAGTAATGTCAACAAAAATGTCAAAAAAACGAGGGCGGAAGAGAGATAGAGAGAGAGAGAAATAAATGCCCCAAATAACAAATCTAGATAAGCATATTTCTCAATGACCAGAAAAAACTAACCTGTCGATTTAAATCTCTTGCCTTGTCAGCATAGATGCGAGATTCTGATGTCAAACGACTGGACATTTGACTGACCTCTGTATTATCCGCAAAAAAGTGAAATGCACACTTGGTTAGTCAAAACAATAATACAATCTATCAGCCAGTAAGAGAGATAGAGAGAGAGAGAGAGTGAGAGGGGAAGAGAGAAGATTGAATATTAAACCATCAGGAAAGAAAAATACATGATTAGGTGAGTACGATTTAAGGGCAAAGCTTAAAAGTAAACTAAGGCAGCAACAAGGTGTAACCACAATCAACTTCACAGTTGTAAACATGCCAATTGCAAGTGGAGAAAAACATGATTTGGTGAGTTCAATTTAAGGGCAAAACTTAGAAGCACACTAAGGTGGCAACAATGTGCAACCATAATCAACTTTGCGCTTGTAAACGTGCCAATTGCAAGTGGAGAAGTAAATACTAGAAATCAAATTCTTTAAATGTTAATTGGCACAATGTGAACCAATATACAACACTCTAGAAACACTCAATAAGAAGCGAAGACAAGTAAAGCAAGCTTTAATATGATTAATGCAAATCGAAATTTTATGAACAGCTAAATCTTACCGTCAAAGGAACAAGAGTTAAAAAACATGCAAATGCACTCAAGACAATAAAGATTGAATTTTCTTTCAAAGACAAATATACATACATGTGTGTGTGTGTGTGTGTGTGTATTCCATGTTCCAACATGTAATTACCAAATTGAGGGTAATTTAAAAGTTACAAGTGGGCCAGAACCAGATATAGAAGCAGCAGGCTGATATCCTACAAGGTTTTTGTCCACCTTTTAACCAGTATATGCATACAAATAGATGCATTAAAATTATAAAAGCATAACTAGATCATGATTGTAAAATTCAGATATATCATGGTGCATGGGTTCAAACAAAATGCAATTAATTATTAAATTAAATGTTGAAATAATGGCCTAAAGTAATTCTGAAAGGAAAAGGATATCTTACGGTCCAACTTTTCACCAACACCAAGAACGTCTTGTACATTGCGAGTCATTATTTGGTGAACTTCATAGAGTTCATCATTCAACTTTGCAATATTCCGTTGAGTACGGGTGTCCTGGTACAATTTTTTTGTCTTCTGTATGAATGTATCTTCGAGACAAGAAAAGATAAAATCAAGCCTAGTAAGAGAAGCAGAATAAAACAAAGTTGAAGAAAAACTAGCTGCATCAAAAGCCAAATAATATAGAAAAGGAACCTACCAAATTTAATAAAGGCATAAGGCCTGGCAGCTGTCTCAATATGAGCTCCATTAACACGCTCAAATTCATTCCTGAGGTCTTCCAGATATTGAAAGGCAAGTTTCTTAGGATAAGCACGGTCACACATTGTCAAGTAACAAACACGTCCTTCAATGATATAGCTATGAACTTAGGTCAAGGTAACAGTACAAGTCAGATGCACTTGCAAATAATACCAAAGCCATACAACAAACTTATTCAGCAATAAAACGTAATATGTAAACAAATTATACACACATTATAGAGAAAGAGAGAGATACATAGTTATTCAAATTCAAGAAGAAGCAAGAACCATCCTGCAAGTATAAACTTAGTCCCTTTTGCATCATATAAACTGCACAAGGGAGCTCAAATTTATCTGGATCCATGTTTATGAACATATTCAGAAAAAGGAAAGCTGTCAGCTTCGTCACGAGTGATGAAAACTGATGAATCATAATATCCAAGTTAATATGTTCTCCTGATTTTACAGACCATTTGTTATGCATACTGAATGAAGAAGTGCCAGTTAATAGAAGCCAACACTACTTGGAAGTAATGTAATATTCAATCCATGATCAGAAACCCATCTGATCTCGGAGAGACTGAGTGTGAGCACATCTCATGCACAGACCACTACTCTGCATAATATCTCTTTCCCAAAGAAGAAAATATAAACATATTTCATAACTCAAGAAATATCGGCATCTAGTAGAGACACCAGAATAAGGATACTGAAACACATATGGGCCAGTTTCAATCGACATCCTTGAAGCCTCATTCTGGCCTTTGGAGAGATTCTTAAACAAAGCCTTGACTTGCTGTTTGTACATTTCAGCATCTTTGAGATCACGACCATCATCCAGTCCCTCCGCCAGAGGAAGACCGTCAGTAACACGAGCAATCATTGTCATCTTCACCATCTTTACTCCCTATTTCTCAGCTACACAAAATCCCTTCAAACTGAACTAGAAGCAAAATCAACACCCTGATTAGGCATTGAAAAGAAAAACTCAATTTAATTCACAACAAGCTATCCCGATCTCATACCGTATATTTAACTAATAAAAGAAAAAAGATGCCGCAAATACCAATTGATTAGATTTCGATAATTTGGTTCTCAAAACTTAGTGTTGCTACTTGCCATCAGAATAATGAGAATACAGCACTTTACCATTAAAATTAACAAAAAAAAACACACATAACTTGGTTCTTATATTACTTAATTCTATAATTCTAAAATTCACTAAACTCTCATCATTGATCCAATACAAGATCGACCCAATTCTTCTTTTCCAATCCAATGGTCATTAATGTAACCAAAGAGAACCCAACCAATCACGATCTAACAACAAAATGGATTATTTTCTGGGATTCCAAAAAGACCCAGAAATTCAATTGAGGGAAATCTCTCTTATCCTGAAGAATTTCCACAACATTGCAAAGCACGAGCACGATTTCTTTCAAATAATTACAAGCACATTTACAAATTAATAAGCAATCAAAACTCTTGATTTTACAGAAGAAGTACCTGGTTATAGAATGTGGGTCTTTGGATTTTTTCTTCAATTCAACGATCTGTGGAAGGGGAAAGGACCGATGGTCCGACAAGACTTAGGCGGTTGAAATAAGGGGAAAAGGGAAAGGGAACGTTCAAAAATAGGGGTTTTATTATAAGAAAGAAAATAGAAAAAAGAAATGATGGCTGCGATTTTGGTTTTCTTTCTTTCTTTTCTTTTCTTTTCTTTTTTTTTTTTTTTGAGCTACGATTTTCAGAGCGTCGTGTTATTCGGGGATTGTACCTTTGAGATTGCGGTACGAAGTTTCAAAGGTACAACGCGGCTCGGTTGTTTGGAGTTTGTATAGTTTTATATTAATTTTTTCAAAAAGGGCAAATTTATTTATCTAATTAAATTGACTCTTATTGTTTGAGTTGAGTTTGGAAAACGGTTTGTTCTTTCTTTTAGTTACATGGGAACACATACTAGTATTAGCCTAATAGCTTCTAAAATATATAATTTTTTTAGACATACTAAAATTCATTTACCTCTTATATTACAAAATTAGATCTCAATTTTTTACTCTTAGATGCAATGAAAAAGGTGGAGCAGGCCGGCGTAAAGGGCATAATACCCCACGTGAACAATTTATTTTTAATGATTGCAAATAGGAAAGTAGTTTAATCACTAATGTAAAAACATTTAACTAACTTTGCCATTTTAATTAGAATTTGATCAACTTAATTGAAAATGATTTTAAGATACATTTCAAGGCTGACTTCCCATTCTCTAATTACAACAAATAGGTTAATAATAATAAGATTCATTTGTAAGGTTCACAATAATTAAGATAATTTTTAAATATATAAACAACGAATAAGATTGTTGAATGATAAAGCAGCTTGTCTAATTTTAATTTAGGATTCAATATTAGCTTTCCCATTATATTATTATTATTATCTTTCATATACTCGATTACTTGTAATTCTAAAGGCCAAGGATTAATTTGAATTCTAAGTATATATACCATGACAAAAACATTGCATAAAGATAGAATAAATAATGGTAAAAGGAGTTTTTAAATTCTAACATAAGCTTTGCAATTTGTGTAGTTGGAAAAATATTTTTCTTTAACATTGACTTTTTGACTTTTCCTTTGAGAAAAGGAAAAGACACCGCACTTGCACTTTAATTTTTCTCTCAGTAAATATACAAGACATCCATTTTTCGTTGGTAATTTTGAAAAGTATAACGTTCAAATGTAATGTATTAATTGATATAATTGTATTTCAGTATTTAATTTATAAGTTAGTGTATAATTTCTTTACTTTAAGAAAAAGTTTAAATCTCTCTTCTCTCAATTCTAAAAATATATATATATATATACAATGTATTAATTTTGATAAATTTAAATGTTTATTTTTAATTATTATTAAATATAAAAAATTTTATCAATATTTGAATATTTAACTTAATAATTGTTTTCAAAAGACTTGATTTGAATATCTCTTCTCTAAATAAAAAAAATTTTAATTTAATAATTGATGTTATATTTTAAAAACCTTTTAAATTATTTTTAAAAAATTAAAATAATTTTTTATTTTTATTATATTTAATTAAATTTTTATATTTTATTTTAAATTAAATAAATTTTTATAATTAATAATTAAGTATCTGATCGTCATTTTTATATTCATATGATATTGATGTAAAAATTAAAAATATTATACGATAATACTATCATGTTAGATATGTATATATTAAAATATATTAATATGGCATGTCAATTTTATATAATACAAAAAAATATAATTTTGATTAATATGGTAGAGTAATTGTTAATTTTAAAGATTTAATTTAAAATAAAAATAAAAAAATTAATAAAAAGTAAAAAAAATTTGGAATTTTTTTTATAGTTCACAAATTTTTTAAATAATATTCCAAAATAATTTATATTGTATACACTAAAAAAAAAACTTAGACAAAGTTAATTAACTTTGAAAATTAGACATCTAATTTGTAACACGCTAAAGAAAAGTGTTGGGAATCAATATCTTGAGAGGGGAACTAAAGAGAAGTGTGCATCGAAAGTTGTAAATCTTGGAGAACTAAAAGGTCAAAAACTCAGAAGTCTTTTAACTTTCCTTTTCTTGGCCTTAAAAATCTCTTCTCCAGTTCTGCTGCTTGTCCTCGTCCTCACTCTAATAAAAAAATTACTACTTAAAATTAAAAGGAAAAAAATTCACATAAATCCACCCGATAAATTTCCGTCCATTATCCTAACCTTTCCTCCCTGTTTGATCCGCCGGCAACCATGAATCGCGGCCGCGGTCGAAGTACCAATGGCTATTCAGGTCGCGGAGGCCGATCCTGGCGTCGCGGAGGTTATTTTGATCACGGTCGCAGCCCCGTAATTTTCCGTCTCTGATTTTACCATTAACCGTTTACCATTTGTTCATTTTTACGTTGTTTTCGTTATTATTATTTGAAGGGTTTAGTTCTTGGAAATATTTGAAAGGCGCTTCGATGACTTATTTGGGAGAATCTTTATTTACATATATTCAATTTATTATGATTGCCGTTAATTATCACGTTATCTTTTTTCTTCTTTAAGAAAATATATAATTTGATTGACGTTTATTATTGACTAAACATTATTTCTCAATGTACAATTTTGGCTAATTATAAGGTTTGCTGATAATAAAACCCTTTGGATTGACTAAGAAATCCTGCATTATGATTTTTATGGACGTTCCAAATTTCTTACTATATTTTCTGGTGCTAATGTATGCCTATGAGGTTAGAAGTGTTCAATAAGATTATTTTTTTTTCTCAATGTTTATTATTTTACGAACTCCAGGTCGGAGCTGAAAGGCATTCTGGGGAAGATTCTTGTTACTATCAGGAAGATGGAATGTCCCAAAGCCGAGGTAGACATTTGCAGAAGACGTCTCCGGCCAGTGGGTCAAGTTATTCTAAGCATGACAATGCCCCTGTTTTCGGATATAAGCCAAAAAAGCCTTTTCCTGATGACACCGGACTAAAATGGCAAAATGATCCTCCTGAAGCCAGTGACACTTCAAGTGCAGTCCTTAAGGATGATTTTCCCTCATTGTCTTGTCAATTGGGTTCTGAGGGCTCACAGCCTTATGAGGGAAGAACACAGGTTGAACCATTACCAGTTGAGGAGACAGAGAGTTGTGCATCTCTACTGCATCATGATTTCTCTCGCAGGGTGAACTTCTCCTGCTTGCAAGACGAGTCTGAACCATCTGAATCATACCGAAAAATGAGTCCCCAAAATAGTGCAGGTTTTGGTGATTCTGTTCACACTGAGTGCCAGGTTGTGGTCGAGCCTTTTGATATATGCCTGTCCAAAGCTGGAACACCTGTCATGCTGAAACCATCTTTGCTTGTAAAGAATAGAGAAAAGAGGAATGAAATCAAACGATCAATGGAAGGCCAAAATGGAATTGTTTTGAGATCTGGGATGGTGCTTCTAAAGAAATATCTGTCTTTAAGTGATCAGGTGAGGGCCATGAGGCTTGCTAATCGCTGTATGTCAATTTTTTTGCATATGTACTTCTGAATGATTTTCTTGCTAATTGCTATATTTCCGGGTTCAGTCATAATTCGTAAACAACATGTATTCGACTCTGTTAATTTACTTTACACCCTCATATGCATCTAGGTTAAAATTGTAAAGGCTTGCCGAGAGCTTGGCTTTGGTTCTGGAGGTTTCTACCAACCAGGTTACCGTGATGGGGCAAAACTGCAATTGAAAATGATGTGCCTCGGTAAAAATTGGGACCCAGAGACAGGTAATTATGGAGATCTTCGACCAAATGACTGTGCTGTTCCCCCACGTATTCCTCATGAATTCTATCTATTGGTTGAAAAGGCAATAAAAGATTCACACGCCCTTCTACAACAAAAGGCTATAGCAAGCCACGTAGAAAACATTCTCCCATGGATGTCACCAAATATATGTATTGTGAATTTCTACTCAGCAAGTGGTCGACTTGGTCTCCATCAGGTCCAAACTTTAAACCTGTTCTCATCGTTGCTCTACATGTGACATGATAGAAAGTCCTTTTCTTTGCAATTCTTCCCTTTATGTTGTTGCAATGGATTTTATTCAACATTTTTTGCCAACCTGTATCCAACTCATTCAGTTTTAATGAAATCAAAATAACTTTTCTTCTGTTTGGCCAAACATTGGTCTGCATTTGTCATTTTGAACACAAGCTTGATGATCAAAGAATGGATATCTGACTCAATGTATTGCATGATCTTGTGTGGAGCATCGGGAAAAGGGAGCAGGCATGTGAAATCAAGCCATTATATGATGATACCTTCATCCTTTCTTTCCCCATTTTCCTATAGAATGGGATTAATTTAATTTTAGCCCTATTTGGCTACTATCCATACCATTGAAACTTAGATTGTGTTGTTTGCAGGATCGAGATGAAAGTCTAGAAAGTCTACATAAAAGATTACCTGTGGTATCCTTTTCCATAGGAGATTCAGCTGAATTTTTATATGGTGACCAAAGGGATGTGGACAAAGCAGAAAAGGTTGAACTTGAATCTGGGGATGTGCTGATATTTGGTGGGAACTCTAGACACATCTTTCATGGTGTGACTGCTATTAAGCAAAACACTGCACCTAGGGCTCTCATGGACGAAACAAATCTCCGTCCAGGGCGTCTAAATCTGACTTTCAGAGAGTATTAGAATCCTGTATAGACATTTGGAGCTGGTTTTATCGATATGGCTTTTCCCCCTGATTTCAATGTGAAGCTGGATAAATACTATGGATTGCACGTGCAGTAGTATTACATAGTTCTGTAAGATATGGGCTTTATGTGAGTGATTCTTTTAATCTAAAGAGAAGATAAGATTAAGGTTATATACTATGTGTCTTTTGTATCAACTTGTGCTTATCAGTGAAAGAGACACTCTTCAAATAGACGGGATAGATTTGGATTTCATATGAAGTGGCATGACCAGCACCAGCCTACAAATTTTAGTACAAGAAAAGCATGTAAGATAGAGTTTTGAATTTCTACAATTGTGCTTGATGAGATTTTGTGTTTCCTTAGAACTCTCAGCTTGTACTAGTCGCTACAGGAGACAATAGAACCAATCAGTGGAAGGAGTTGGAGAAGGTACTCTAATGCCAGACATTTCAAGGGGAATTGCATTTTTTTTAGTTAGGACTGTTGAACCCAGTTTTATGGGATCAAGCCTAATTCCGAATTCTTCTTCACAGCACATGCGGTGGGTGGTCTGCCATAATCAGGGGAATAATGCTTAATGTAGACCCCATTTGTGCCTGAAAACGCCACTGCGCTGATCCCCCGTTTTGGCAGCCAAACGTCAACGGTCACGTAACCAAAACCCTGTTTGGTTCCACATTCCTTGGGCTTTCGATTTGCTTAAACTACGATATATCAAAGCTTATTAAATAAGCAAACTCACAAGGGCAAACCAACCGCTTTGTCCACCAACAACACGTTGTTTGCCATCATCGGTTGTCGGATCTTTGCCAAATTAATTATCTCGGTTGGATGGCTACTGTCCTACATTTTAACTGCACTTGAACCCTTATAAAATCCCGTGTTAAATTCTCTGCAACATGCTTAATTTCTATGGTCGTCTGAGCCATCTTTGTTAGTAGGTTTATTATTATTGGCCAAAATCTGTTCTAGTTCTGTAAGACTTACTTCAATCAATGTTCCCTAGTTCTATAAGGTTCAAGTAGGTAGGTCTTTTATCAGTGCCTTCCAATCAGAAACTTGGCACCCACAAATGGGAAACGGAGAGAGGGTAAGCCATGCTGGAGAAGCAGTGTACATGCAAAAGCAATCAGACAAAAATCTGAGAAATTTTGCATGTGCCCTGGCTCTCCAGCTTGGACCCTCTCCCTTACTAAGAACAAGGCTGCAAACAAGTAGCAGGTCCTTGAGGGCTTATATATTCCTATATCGTTCGAACAAGTAGAATGCCAAAAACTTTGCATGTGCCCTGGTTCTTCAGCTTCGTCCCTCTCGCTTGCTTGCTCAAGGATGCAACATCAAGCAGTGTGCAATCCTCTCAGCACAAAGGTGATTCTCTTGAAACTTGAAATTAAAATTTTAATTGTACATTTACTGCAGGCTTATATGTTAAAATACACAATGTGGATCGAAGTGAACCTCAATGACTTTATTGTTATACACAAATGACTTGCATTCATAAGTTTGTTGACAGAACAACCAGAAGTTAAATATGGTTGGCCAAACTTTCTATACTTGAATTTGGCTCAATTCATCCAGAAAATCTGAATCACCTTAAATACTCTAAGTTATCACAAACAACGTCGTAAAATCATCATTTCATGTTGAATCAACTACGGTCAAGATCGATTCTCCAGAGCTGAGGCTGCTGAGTCCACATGGCTAAGCAAACAAGCATAAACTTTTTGCTTCAGCCGTTCAACAGTTTCCATCAGTCCATTATTATCTGAATTCAAGTTGCTTCTTAGTTTATCCAACCATTCATTTGCATATTTAAGCTGTGACAATGTGACAGCTATATGGTTGTCCTGCTCCATCACTCGCCCTGTAGCGCTTTTTCCTTTCTTCTCCTGGCTTCGAAACCCAACCTCCAATGCTACCTCTAAAAATTTCAAAAACCAAGTTCTTGTTTCATGCAGCAAGATTTCCCTCAGTTCTTTTATCTCTCTAGCACCATCTCCTTTGGCCCATTCTAGCTTCTCAGCTCCACTTAACTGCATTGAAGGCTTTGAGGACTTTAATGCACTTTTTTCACGGGTTAGACCTTTCCTTTTGTTAGACTTTTCTGTGTCTTGACCAGATGGAAGAATTGATAACTGAAGCGTTTTATCTTTTAAATGTGTCGTGACACTTGGTTGGTCAATTAGCTTTTGGAGGGTGAAGAACTTGGTGAGAGAGAGCTGGGGGTTCTCAGGTGAGGCAGAGTAGCATAGATCAGACAACATGCTGGAAGAAAATATGGAAGTTAGAAAAATCATTGTTAATACATAGCATTGATCCTGTATCGTACTGACTAATAAGCTCCAAGATATTGCCCTAAATATTTTGGATTGAAAAAATGAACTTACCTAAGACATTTGACAAGATTTGTTGCCATAGATGCCTCCCTTTGAGCATCTGCTGCAACCAAGGAAGCTAAATTTCTTCTTCTAAGCATTCCCTTGTAAAAATGATAATCAAAGATGAGATAGTAAGAATTATGCTTTTAAAGAATTTTTATTCAAGAACCTAGAACATCTCATTCTAGAGGGAAGTCTTCTTTGCCAGGTAATTAAAATTAATATGAAAATAAACAACTTTCTTAAAAGAAATCATTTTGACTCCAAATTAATGGAAGAATTGGGCTAAACAAAATGCAATAGAAAATCCAGATTGTGAAAATGTAAGAATTAAGTAATGCCTTCAAGAATTAAAAAAAAAAATTCTTTCAAAACAGGTCAATACCTTTCCTGGCTTCAAGAGACTGGCAGGCAGAGAGTTCCACGAATTTGTTTCTGGCAAATTATTCTTTTCTTTGTTGTTTGGCAAACAATTCGAGTTCATGTTTTCCAGTTTACCTGAAGAGCGTTTTACAGTTGTGCCCTTTTGAGGCACCATAGTTTCCTTGGTGTTAGATGCAACAACCTCTGGCTTTGATAATGGAACCTCTGGCCTACTGCGGGAAGGAGTTGCCGGGCATGCCTGTAATGCTGAACTTGTCATTGTCGCTACTTGGTATTTTCATTACTGTAACTGTAAAGACAGGAACCATCTATGTGCATTCGATTGTAACTGTTTGCTTCATAAATTTATTGTCACCTTGCTGGACTGTCTGTGAAAAGAAGTCTAGTCCTGGAACTATCCTTTTGGCCTAAAACATGAAAATGTATGTTAAACAAAATCTTACCTGACCTTTAGGCTCCTGTTGCTTGCTTTTTGCCTTTTTACCTGCTCCCCCATTCTCATTCTCAGTGCTTTTCAAACAACTATTTGAATCTGGTCCACTTGCTTTAGGATTTGATGGCAAAACACCCTGCATATACCTTGATGCAACAACTGCTTTTTCCTCTTTGATGACAATTTTCTGTCTCGGGCTCTCATCTTTCGCTTCCACCAACTCCTTCGCTTTTGAACCATTATTTCCTTCATTATCAACTGCCACTGGACCCTCGGATGGCACTAACATCTGCATCAAATCCTTTGGGTTGCCTATAAACGCATTGCGTCCTGGAACTGGCCTGACACCAACAAGAACAGGAACCGGGGTTCCGGCTTCCACTCTCTCAACATAAAAAAACTGACCAAGTTGCAATTTATTGTTCAGGATTAACTCATTGTCTTCCTGTGACAGGGAAACATATGTTGAATGGGAGGAGTCAGATACTTTGATGAAGAAACCTTGGTTAGGCCACAACTCTGATCCTGTTAAAGCAGGAACAATGCTGATTACTTGCAGGAGCACAGATCGATATTCCCCTCGAACTTTTACATTGGAATTTATACTCTGAAGAAGCTTTAATAAAACTCCTGGTGTAAGTGAAGCCATTCTCTTTCTTCTTTTCCAGTGTATGAATTCTCCAGCCTGGAATTAATTTTCCGGAGTACTCCAAATTGGATCAACCAACAAATTCTGAAAGTGTTAGCTGATAGAAATTTTTGTCACAGTTTGTATGAAATCTAGTGTTACTAATTTTGATGCAAGTAATCAAGAACCTGAGGAACCGGGTGAAAGTTGCACAAGAGAATAATGGAACAAGTCCTTCTATGGAAAAAGAAATTTTCTTCACGTAAGGCTACAGTTTCGGCAATCAAATGAGAGTATTGGCCTTTTTGGCTGTAGTGGCCATAGTCGCAAACTTGCAAGATTCTCTATAGCTTTGCATGCCAGGCACGTAACCATCAACTTCTCTTGGCTTAAAAGGCAAGAGACATGCTTTCGTGTGAGAATTTTCAACTTTGGGGGCCTTCACTCTCTCTTACGCGCAATGACTGACATGCCCCTATCAGAAAGAGGTTCTTTTGACCATTACTGCTATATATCCAATGGGTACTTTGGTAAACTTGACGTGGGTCAGTTCATGGTCGCATTTCCTTTTAGAAGTAGAAGGAACGGAGTTTTAAACGGCAGGTGAGGGTATTCCAAACGTCCTCTTCTTCTTAATTTGCATGCCAAAAATTATATCCTTGGACGTTGCATAATTAAAAGTAGGTTCACATTAAGACTTCTGATCACTTGATTAAGACCACCCACGCTTATATTCAAAATTGCAAATCACTACGATAATCATAGACTCATCTTTTCCTTCACATTTTTTTAACATTTGTTACCAAAGATTTTGCTTGAAAAGCACTCCTTAAATTTCCATCCTCCAAAAATCTACAAAAGCTATTACTTGATTGCTCCAATAAGGCACTTTTCCCTCTACTTGTAACTATGTATCATGAGGTCTCTGTAGCTCCCTTATGTTGTGCCTTTTTTTTAACCCTTTTCTATGGTTGGGTAGGGGGCTTTCTTAAGTTTGGAGTAGCTTTCTCTTTACATTAGTACATAGGGATTACTTCTTCTAACTTTAGGTGTGCACCTGTTGATAGGTAGAGCTTGGAGGGGGCCATTTAACCAAATTCTAAATATAATCCATGTCGTTATTACAACCCTTGAGCCTTTAATGCCATTTAGGGTAATGAGAAGTGTATAAGTGACGCATTCTTTCTCCTTTTGCCCCTTTTAATCCACAAACCAACTCACTGATTACTTGCAAATTATGTTACTGATGGATACGCTAATCAAAGCAGTAAGAGTTTTTCCTTTAGAATCTAATTGTTGATGTGTAAAACAGAGATGACCACCCCACACCAAGATTTGCTCTTAGATGGACTATTAATGGGCTAAATTCTAAAGTAGCATCACATATCCAAATCCATCAAAAGGCTCAAGAAAAGGCGTTGGCTTCTCTTTCAGCCCGGACCAAGCTAGCATACTCACCATCAAGATGGGATGCCAAAAGTGCATCATGGCTGCCACACTCCACAACCGCACCATCTTTGACAACAGCTATCATATTGGCTTCCCTAATAGTAGAAAGCCTGTGGGCTATTATAATTGTTGTGGCCTGCTTGGAAACCCTCTTTAGTGCATCTTGGACATGCTTCTCTGATTCCAAGTCCAAAGCGCTGCTTGCTTCATCTAGAAGCAGCACCCTTGACTGCTTCAGTATGGCCCTTGCTATTGCAATCCTTTGTTTTTGACCGCCGGATAGCTGGACCCCACTCTCCCCGACCTAGAGCAAGAAAAGGGGAATTATTTGCAAGTCAAGTGTTGGTGCATTCATTTGTCCAATTTCTGTGTTGAAGAATAAGCAATTCTGACGTAGGTATAAACAAATCCTAACTTGGAATAAGACTAAATGGGTAAATTGGAACTAAATACCTGAGTTTCATAGCCTTGAGGGAGACCACTAATAAATTTGTGGATGTAAGCTTCCTTTGCAGCGTCTTCAATCTCACCCCATGTGGCATTTGGGTTCCCAAAAGCGATGTTCTCCCTTATGCTTCCAGCAAAGAGAGCAGGCTCCTGACCCACCAAAGCTATTTGTTTCCTTAGCCATTTCAAATTGATATCCACCAAATCTATGCCCCCCATCAGTACCTTCCCTTCATTTGGATCATAAAATCTTTGTACCAACCATATCACTGTTGATTTTCCTGACCCACTTGGACCTACCAATGCCACCATGCTACCATCCTTGACCTTTAAACAAAAGTCCCTTAACACGATCACTTCAGGCCTAGATGGATAAGCAAATGTGACCATTTTCAATTCGATATCCAATGGCTTGGAGCGTTCAATTTTTCTACCTTTGTCTCGAAAGTTACCAATCAATGGCCTACGATTAATGATATCAAAAACAGCAGGAATTGCTGTCGGAGCCATGGTAGTATCAGGTGCAAGCCCAGCTAGTTGTCCAACTGAAAATGAGCTTAGCACAAGAATGAGAAAGATTATATATACATCACCAAAATCTGTCTTGCCTTGTTTTACAAGGTAGGCACCAAACCAAAGCGTCAAGGTATAAGCAACGTACATTGCACCTTGAGATAAACCAAGTGTTAGGCCTAGAATTTGTGACCTCTTCACTGATTGTTTCCTAGGCTCCGATAAAGCTTTATCAAAGGATTTAACTATCTCTTCTTGAGCAGAAAATGTTGTCACTGTCCTTATATTTGAAACTGCACCAGAAGCAATGTTGCTAGCTTTGGCATAAGAGCTGTTATCTAACCTTGGTCCGACATTTATAATCAAATTCAAGTAGCTTGCACCAAGGGTGAAAGGAGTAAGAGCAGCAGCCAAGAGGGTTAATCTCCATCCGTAGCAAAAAGAGACGCCCAGTCCCACAGCAGCTGAACTGACACCCATCAACAAGACTGAGTAACGATCCCCGAGAACTGCTCGAAAGCTGAGACAATCAACAGAAAGTCTTGAAACAAGGATTCCTGTAGAATTGTCTTCAAAATCAAACCAACCAGGTTCTTGTTTTAGTATCGAGCGAAATAAGAGGTCTCTCACCCTTATTGTGAGCTTTGTTCCAGCCCAACCACAGAAACCTTGTTGTCCAGTCATGGCAATTATACACCCAAAGCCTAGGCCAACGAGAGCTAAGGAGAGTTTCGCAACTTCTCTCTTCAATTCTGATGTGCTGTCATCAAAGTAAGCTTGAAGAGCTAGGCCTAAAAGAAACGGAAATATGGAGAGAATAGCGCCAGCATGGATACCCAACAGGAAACCTAGTAAAAGCGTGATGAGCTCTGGTCTTTGTAGAGTCCAAACCTCTGAAATTTGAAATTCTCCAGGCTGTAGCCTTTGTTGTATTTCCTCTTCTACTTGGTTAGCTTCTTGGATGGACTTTATGTACTTTGAACTCGAAATTTCGTACGCATAAGGTGATCTTGATGCTTCATAGGCTGATTTCTCATATGTGGAAAACGCAATGCCCTTTTGAGTATTTTTCTCATTCAGTGTTGGATTTGAAAGTGCTTCAGAAGCAAGCTTGACAAGTTTATAATAGGCCCCTGATCGTTCCATTAGCTGACGATGATTACCAGTCTCAATAACTGAGCCTTGATCAAGAACAACAATTGTGTTGGCATTTCTTACTGTTGCTAACCTATGAGCAATGACAATTGTTGTTCTGCCCTTAGAAATCTTGTCAATGGCTTGTTGAACAACTGCCTCAGATTCGGGATCCAGGGCACTAGTAGGCTCATCCAAGAGTAGGATTCTAGGATCTTTAATCAACGCACGAGCTAGAGCAATTCGCTGTTTTTGACCACCTGATAACTGAGTTCCCTTAGCTCCAACCTGCAAGTTATTTTCAGGCCGAAACTCAGGACATAACTTGTGTGAAAATCATGTTAGTAAATATTCGTTTTATATCTGTGTTGAGTGTGCATAAAAAAGTTCGTTTATATGGATGCTGAGGTTTTGGTTTTTGACCTGAGTATCGTATCCTAGTGGAAGGTCATAGATGAAGCTGTGGGCATTGGCAGCAACACAAGCAGCAACAGCTTCTTTCTTAGTGGCATTCTCCTTGCCCATCATTACATTTTCCAATATTGTGGTGGCAAAGAGAACTGGCTCCTGCCCAACCATACCAATCTGTCTTCTTAGCCACTTCACTTGTAGTGTCCTTAAATCATGACCATCCAAGGTGATGGCTCCTACCAGTTAAAAGACCGAGCCAGGTTAGGAACTACATAGACAATGCTTATACCAAGCTCACATAGTTAAACTCAATTAAACTATCAGAATGAGCTAATTAATGAGCCTACCCTTGTCAGGATCATAGAACCTCTCAATGAGAGCAAAGATGGTGGACTTGCCTCCTCCACTGGCTCCAACCAATGCAAGAGTCTTTGATGATCGAATAACTAGATTGAGAGAGCTGAGAACTGTAATATCAGGACGAGATGGATAAGCAAAATTGACACCTTTAAACTCTATCCTTCCTCGAACACTTGACAATGTTCTTCCTTCAGGGTCATAAGGATCTATCTCCGGAACCCTGTCCATAATATCAAATACCCGACCTGCAGCTACAGTGCCTTGAGCAAATTGAGCAAAATATGTAAGTGATAATGCCAAGCCCCTGAAAAGGATCAGGACAAACCTTCTGTTAATTCTCGTGTTTGGAAAGAATGAAATACTCGAAGGGAAACATGTTGGAATCAGAATGCTTTGCAGGCAAATATTCATCTTGTTCAATTTGTTTTAACTATGTGTAAGGAGAACTTTCAAAAAAAAAAAAAGCTGTGTAAGGAGATTTTTTTTTAACAATGTGCACTAACATATGCAGGCATACGTGTGCTCAATGGAAAGAAATGACGAGCTCATTACCTTCCCCCCACATTGACACCAAAGAAGCAAGCAACTGCTGCACCGCCAGAGATCTCTTTTCTAGCAACCAAGATTGAACCATACCAAAAAGCCAATGCCCATGTTGAATATGTGACCAAATAAATGACCCCCATTCCTGCACCCTTAGCAAACCCAATCTTTGCCCCAAGAGGAACTGACTTTGCCAATAATTTAGCATATCTTGCAGCCAAATTATCCTCAGCAACAAAAGAAAATACAGTTCTAATTGAAGTTATTGCTTGCTCTGCAATGGTACCAGCTCTCCTATAAGAAGCCTGTAGTTTAAAGATATGAACACTTAAAATGTTTACTAAAACAGTAAGATTATTAAGTGCTCCTTGAGCAACTGCTCCTTTTGTAATTGTTCAGAACAGGCTCTTCTTATGATAGCTTCCATGCCAACAGGAGTCTCCAAATCTCAACGTTGAAGACTCCCCACAGCATTCCAACTCATCATTAATAAAAACCATCTTTCAAAAAAAAAAAAAACAGTAAGATTAACATGCTGACACTGTAAACATTTCCAGTAACTGTGATATTTCTTACCTCTTCCTTGGCCGTGAGACCACCATAAACAGCCTTATAAGCAATACCACAGAACATCATTAGTGGGGTAACAGAAAAAACTACTAACGACACTTTCCATGACTGCAAAAACCCAACTGTATATCCGCTTATAAAGGTGAATACATGGTGAATGAAATGTGCCATCTGCAAATTATAATTCAAGTGAACACATTGTCAGTGCTAGTTGCTAGTGCAAGGCAAAGTCAGAATTTTCCAGGTCTACAGACAAATGAAACACACTTGCGGAAAATAGGCAGAACCCAAAGAGCAATTGGGATGCAAATTAAATCAAGCCTTAACCTTCTCTCCCATCACTTCCTGGATTTGAGCAACATCACTTGAAATACCGTGCATAATGTCACCCGTGCTGACTTCTGTGTCAAAAAAGCTTATGTCCTGTCTCAAAACTGCTCTCAAGTACTTGGTTCTAATTCGTTGAGCTGATCGTTCTCCAACTAGCCTCCAGCAGGTAATTTCTGTCATTTATTGATGAAAGATCATTTCTAATGCTTATGCAGATACAAAGAAGAGAAGTTGTAATGGTTTATGTTGCCATTACCTAAGTATGCTCCAACCACCACTATTGCAGCCAAGCCAGACATAAGTATACATATCTGAAAAAATTAGACGAAACAAAAAAGCAATAGTTTCTATATTAATTATATCTTTGATCATACTTGATTGTTACAGATCAGTTTTTAACAGTTGTTGACCAACAATACTATCATGAGAAAGTGAATGAGGAAAATTGCATATAAATAATATAAGAATTCTTGTTTGAATTCTTACCTTCTCTACATCCTTCATCATCTGGATTTTGTCACCTTTTGATGATTCTGTAGCAATCTTATTAACAAAATCACCAAAAAGGTAAGAATACCAGGGAAGTGAACCCCCGTTTATTAGGGCTCCTAAACAACCCAAAATCACAAGTACTATATCCCATTTTGTTGAATACTTGAACAATTTTAACAATCCAACTGGCCTTGGTGGTTCTGCATCCTCTTCCTCCTCATCATTGTCATCTTCGTTGATATCTGGTGCCCGAACAAAGTCATCAGACTCATGTCTTGCTGATTGCCAAGTGTCATGACCATGGTGCCCTTGATTCAACTTATGATCGAGACCTTCCAACTTGTGCCTCATTTGATGATGCCCACTTAGGCCACTGTGAACACCATGACGTGATAAGCCATGACCATAACCATGCTCTGCATTATCATCTTCACTGAAATCCAATGACAGGCCAAGGTCATCATACCGATGATCACCACCATCATGATGACTAGTTGATTGCCCATGACCGTGAAGCTCATGCTGCATTACTAGATCAAGATCATTGTCCACCTTGTGCCTCCCACCATGGCCATTTCTACCCTGAGGTGATAGTCCATGACCATAATGATGCCCTCCAAGAGAAACATCGTCCTCATCATCCACATAGGCCTGTGAAACTGTAAACCAAGGTGAACCGGCATTTGTATGACGGTTAGGATCAGTCTCTAATAGGCATATTTGTCTCTCAACATCTTCGAGAGTGTCATAATCAATGGTGCTAAGCTCATTCTCGTCAGCCAAAGGACTAGCACCATTTCTACTACTCCCTTCTTTAATAGTAGCCAGCCTTGAAAGCTTGTGATGAGACTTACTATGATCTCCCAAATGGAGATGTGATGAACTGTCATTATCTCTAGCAACATAGCTTTGAAGTTCAAGCCTCCCGGAAGGCACAGCTCCGTGACCAGAAAACTCATAGTACGAATTTGCAAAGCTCCTAAACCCTCCAGAGGTGCGGGAAAGATAATATTCACTAGCCGAACATCGTCGAAATGCCTGACTGTTTGATGATGAAGTGCTGGAGGCAGCCCAAGGACTAAGGGCTGCCCCCAAATTGCAGTTGTCACGCCAACCTGAAGGCTCAAACTGCCATGAAACGTCACTTTGCCATGACATGTCATCATCTGTGGCAAAAGGCGTAGCAGGAGTGCGGTGTTGGAGCCTCCGTGGAGTGGTGCGGGACATTCGTGGAGAGTGGAGTGGCGTGAAAGAACTAGAGGCATAGTGTGAAGCAGGCGTGTTATGGCGTTGGTGGTGGTAGTTTAGGGAGGAGGAGTAGTCGATTTCAAAAGAGGAATCAGCCATGGGAGAGATCGAAGATAAGGGTCTGATGGACTATTGGAAAATGGAAAATGAAAGCGTGTTAGGAAAAGGAGTTGAAAGAAGAACGAGGCGTAGAATAGTATAGACAACATGAAACGAAACAAAGTTCATCTTGAGGAAGAGCTGTCCAAAGAGAGTGGTGTGTCCTAGGAGTCAACGAACTTTGCATATTCCGCTTGTCTTTTTATCATGATCAAGTGGTTGCTCCGATTCAAAGTTGACTAAATTGGGTTCTTTTAAGGGTTTCATTTGTTAAACTCCTCGCATATATCACTCAAGACGAAGAGAAGAGCGTAGCTTACTTGAGTACAGCCACAGTGACAAAAGGCAGCCGACCCCGACCGGTTAAGTATTCAAAGGTCATGCCAATTATCGTTGGCAGATTTTGTCCTTTTAAGAATCGCAACATATATGTAAAAATAATGAATACAATTGAATTGCATTAATAACATCTATCTATCAGAAAAGCTATAAAGATGAAAAATATACAAGGATTCTCCTCTCATAGTGGCTTCTGATCTACCCCTGCCAGACCAGGCCAGGCCGGCATGCAATACAAATTAAGGTTGTATTCCTTAAAAAATCTAAAGGCTATAGGTTTTGGTTTACTTAACCTGCTTCAAACTTGGACATGGAAAGGTGCCATTCAATTCCAATCCAACAATTAATCATTAATTTCAAACTTTGGCATTTTGAAGACAATTTTTTCATGTCAGAAATCATTTTCTGGACAAAGACTTTGGTCATTCTAAATTTTAATGCCGTGGGAGAAGATGCGAATGAAAAATATAGCAAACACTGACCAGGTCTCTGCCTAGCTGATGCAGTGTCCAATTTCACTCTCAGGAACGAGGCTTCTCCATTTGTCATGAACTAAATCAAATTCAATAAAGAACAGATGGTTTTGTTGACCAGACTACCATATTGATAATCTGAGATTCTGAGAGGTACATGCACTTCAAGCGCATGTCCGGCATTTTCTACTAAACTTTGCAGTTTGACGAAGGCCACGCTGAAGGAGCAAAGGTTCCTATAAATTCTTTGATAAAACACAGGGAAAGATTTCAAGGCACATATCAATATTATTTTTTAAAAATATTATTAATTTTCGTTATCTATGATGTAAAAAAGTTATCGATAATAAATCTCAAAAATATATTAAAATTCAATGATTAATTAAATTTGATATTAATGAAATCAATTTATTGAACACTCATTAATGTGTCATAAGATCATCACATTTTTATGGAGTTTTTCTACAATAAAACAGTATAAAAATAATTTGAGAAATATTTTAGGAAAAAAATCATTAATTTTTTTTACAATTTTAAAAAATCATATGATCTTATTTATAAAAAAATATGTTTTTTTTCTCACAAACTTTTTGAAATAAATATAATTATTTAAATAAAATATAATTTTTTTGAATAAACATAATTGTTCCAAAGAGTTTCTTCAGTTTTTTTTTTTTTGAATGTGGGATTTTAGACATAGGATTTTTATTTCATTTTTCCTAATGCGGGATTGTAGCCTACAGTGTTATTGTACAAAATGTTCAACGTTCTTACCATTGGAAGGTTCTTTCTTATTGCCTTGACATGTTTGAATCTGTTCCGCTGTCCTACCTGTTGAATGGTTACAAAACCATAAAATAGTGAAGGCGATAAGAGGGAGGATACAGTAACTCGATAAAGCAGTTAGAAAGATAAGTGTTGAGCACAAGTTCTCTCCCACAGAAGAAAAATTCTACGAGTCTCAAAAATGGAGGTAACAAAGGCAACTGCACTTTCATCGAGAGACAAGTGCCCACCAAACCCTGTTCCTTGGATAATAATGGCACCTACATTCTAAAACACAAAAGGGAAAATGGTTGTATATGAGAACCTGATACATCCTTAGTATCCATAAACAACACCACAAGGATTCTTGTCTATGAAAATACAGATAAGAGAAGCACAAGGGATAAGGGAATTTCACCCAGAAAAAAGGGCACAATATAGATTGCTACTAAGATAAAGTAGTTTTCTTTTACGTAGCTGTTACTCCGCATTGTCCATAACTCTGATTTTGACAAAGAGTTCAACCTTTAGTATACATCAAAAGGCAAGAGCAAATTAAAAGGAGAAAAAGAATGCCTCTGGACTACCAAAATCACAATGACATCATGCCAATAGGCAATTTCTTGTTCAATACAATATACAACATATCTCGACACAACTACAGAAAATTACTGACTAGATCATGAGGAAGGCCTCATGACTCCATGAAGATTTACAAATCCAATTGTAGATTTTATACTGTTCATTGTATCGTGCCTACCTCAAGCATTTGTATCTTATATATATTCCTTTACACCCTACTGTTTAAGATGATTCCAAGCACTTGTCCTGGACTTTCCTCAGACGAAATTTATCTAGGCTTGGAGTCGCTACCCTTGCTTCGGAATGATGAGAGCGAAAAGAATGAACGTGGTGCTGCACAATTATTCCAGTTTAAGTACCATGACAAATAAAGACTACGAATTCAACACAAGAACAAACTAAAAGATTCTTCTAAATCTATATAACAAATTCCGAATATGTTAGTAGAGGTTTTGTTCAATGGTAAAGTTAAGAAATAATTATCAATACCATTAGATTGATATGAGCTTGCAGTTAAGATTGTCCACGGCCAGAATATACATAGAACCTAAAGGTTGCTGAAAAATTCAGTGAAAAGACTTGGATTACACATAGGTGATTGTCATGTAGTACGCTATTTTGGGCCAAGGTGCAAGTTATTGCTTTCAACTGGAAGTCCTCTGGAATCAAATAAAGCCAGACTTGGTTGTGACAGGGGAAAGGATTTTAGCAACAATCTATGAAAGGATACCATTTTTTCAATATATTGCCTTCATAAATTACTGGCAAGAAAGAGAAGCATCAGATAACTAGATTAACATTAATAGAGAGTCACCTTTTATTGAGCTTCCTGACATATGATCTTCCCTTAGTTTAAAGTTTGCTGGTGGTGCTGGAATAGAACTATGTAAGGATTGAACTGCAAGGGACCAAGAATGACTCAACTTTAAAATCCGGTTCACATATAAAACCAAAGAAATGAGGATGGAGAAATTGCAACAAAGAATAGATACATGCATCATCAAGTTCAAATAGCATGCCAAAAACAAATTTAAAAATTATGTGTATGTATCATAAATCTTGAAAACTGCAAACTTAAGTTTGTTTCCTTAAAGTAAGCTCACTTATCAACTACACTTTCCCACTCATATCCTAGTGACTTGCTCCTTATAAACACAAACTTCTTGACTGACATAAGATGGCAACCAGCCAATAGGCATTAAGGTTTCTTTAACAACTACAATGAGACAAACTATGGAAGCGTTTCTCCTTTAACCAAATAGTTTATCTTTTTCCTTAATCAATTACTGGAGAATGAACCCCAGAAGGACTGAACTACACAAGTCCAACTGTTTTTTTTTTTAATCCAATTCATGTTATTAAAAAAAAGTCAACTTCTATACTCTCATAAGGTAAAACAGTTCATCAACAAGACACTTTTCCACAGTCGAAGAACCATAAAGGCATAATAGCTTTGTGAAAAAGGGAGGATATTCGATGAATGTAGAAAGTCTGGAGTAATTTTCTTATTAGAACAATAATTATTGAACAATTATGCAATCAATGAATATTCAATATAATTAACAGATAAGGAAAAAATGAAATAATCAAAGTATATCCTAAACAAGTAAGATCAAGATGATTAACATATCAGGAGAAAAGAGGACTTACTCTGATCATTGAACAACTCGCTTTCATTGAAGCCATCATCAGAAGGGTGGCCTTGGGAAAATCCCATCCTTGACTTCTTCAAGTCTTCTGATGATCGATTGGCAGGATCTCTGCCATCCTCTGTGTCATCATCTCCTTCAGAAGTTGTAGCAGAGATCCAGTCAACTAAACTGTCTGTCCCACGGCTTTTCCTTCCAAATTTCAACAACCTTTTGAACCCTTTTGTCACATCCCTACGTGACTGATTATGGGTTGCATTAGCAACAAGAAAAGGTTTCTGAGCACTTCCCCATTTCTTCCTCATTCGAGCAGCATCCACCTCTGTTTGAGCAAGTGAGTGAGAATTCCAAGATGCAGGGCTTCCAATGGGGGAATCCATGGAAGCATCAATATCTGAAGTCTCATGGGGATAAGAAAATGGATGATGCAAGCGAGAATTCCATGATACAGGACTTTCTCCTGGTGAATCCTGCAGGGATACTGCAGTATGGAATGTAGTGGGCACTGCAGCAGGCAGCTCAGCAACCGATGCAGGGTCAATCTGAGAAAGAGACCTCAAGCAATCACCATTCTCTGATCCAGAATTATCCAACTTGTCAGATTCCTGGCTCAGTCTTGATCTTCCATTTTCCATGTCAGCAGAATCTTCAACCACCATAGATTCAAGCTCATCCTCTTCATCTTCTTTGGCCATGTCCACGGAATCATCCACTTCAAATGCTAGCTCATCAGACTCCTCTTCATCTTTTGGAGTCTCAGGTGGCTCTGATGCTTTAAACTTAGCAATATTTACTCCAGCACCAGGACCTATGCCGTTACCTTTCCTGAGGAAAGTCTTTGTTTCCACATTCTTCAAAAATTTGTCACTGAAGCTCTGCTCCATCTGCTCTTTATCAAATTTCAAAGGTGCCAAAACAATGCCATCAGAGTTCAAGGCAGACAAATCTGAAAATTCTACAGGACCAGCAGAGCTTTTCCTAAGGGACTGAGACCGTCGAGGCTGATCATCCTTGCCAAGAGCAATCTCTTCATTGGTACTCTTGCTCCGAGCATAGTTTCTCACCTGGGAACGACTAATCATCTTGGCAGCTCCCGAAGAGGGCTTTGTATTTTCTTTTCTGAGATCAGAGAAGTTGGGAACAGACTGCACAAGAGGATTTTCAGATTGCACTCTCCGCCTTCCAGAACTGGCATTCGAAACTTTGGCTGCTGAGCGCGGAACTGCTGCTGCTGCTGCTGCTGCTGCTGCTGCTGCTGCTGCTGTGGTGCGAGGAGTGGATAAAGACACATTTCTATTTGGCAAAAGCTTCTTAGTGTTGGAGCTCCTAGAAGAACCATCCACTAAGGATACCTCATTAAATGATCTATCCTGTCCATAGTACTTCTGATCTGAAAATTCAGAAAGATCTTCATCTTCTTCACTCTGAATTGAACTTATCGGATGCTGCCAAATGCATAACCTTATCAAAATTAGTAATAAATAATTCAATCAGAAGTTTTTGAGATTCCCAAAACTTAAAAATGAAGATCGAATTCTACCAGCTATGGAATTTTAGCATTTATTTCCTGAAAACATAACTGCAATAGGAGATACCTGCTCCCTCTGTGACTGAAAATTGAATGACCTCACTTTATCTGCTCGCCGTCGAGCACTAGACACTGAATCCTGTCTACCAGCAGAACCAGAAAATTTGGCCTTCATCTCAGCTCTACTTCGCTCAAGGATATCCTGCATAGCCTTCAATTTGGCTTCCTTCTCAGCCCTTTTAGAACCCCATTCTTCCCTCAGCTTTGCATCTCTCTTTTGCATGTACCTCTCATAAAACTTTCCTCTAGAATCATCTGAAAAACTAATACCAGAGAAATTCTGCGTCAAAGTATCAACACATTCCTGGCTATCTACCATCTTTGTCAGAGGAGTACAAAATTTAGCCATATTACTCAAACTCTCCATTGGTTCAGACACTGAGTTTTTGTCTGGCATCTGTGCAGGAGACACATCTACTGCCGCTGGTTTCTTGTATTGTGAGCTTGCTTCCTGTTCAATCAGCGCATCAGCAGGCTTGCTTCTCCTTACAGAACTGAATTGATCACCAGGAACTCGAAGTTTGTGCTCTGCAAAAAGCTTTTCAAGTTCATTTGCCTTCATTTTTAACTCATCGTTCAGCTCCTGGTTTCCCCTTGTCTGCCTTATCCTTTGAGTTGGCTCTTGCATTTTTGGGGCACTGAAACTCTCTTCAGTTTCAGGAACCTTTTTACCAAGAACTGACTTATTATTTGCATAAAGAGAACCACTGTCATCCCTCCGACCCAGTGACTTCTTGCTCTGTTCAGGACCTACTGGAAGCTGTTTCTTGAACTTCATTTTCTGGGCTCCAGAATCCTCAACTTTGCTTATTTGCTTCTCAGATGATGCTAAGTCTTTCTTTCCCAATTCCTCAACTTCCCCGGTGAAAGATGTCCACCGTGGCTGAGGACTGAGCTGATCACCTTCAGTGCCTTTATACTGAGCCTCCTTAGTTTTCAGTCCAATACTACCTTCAAACTGCCCTGATAATGTTCGGGAGTGACCTTGAGCCCTAAGACGCAAATGCATTGTCGATTGGTCTTTCCCTTGAGCCTCCACTCTATTTTTTAATTCACCCTCAGACACGGCATCCCCCCCTGTATCTGCAACTGCCACCTGCGCCTGAGAAGTGGGTTGGTTTTTAACCCTAACAATCACAGCCCTATCAGGAAAAACTCGAGACTGCACCTCTGAACCTCCCCTCTCTCCTGTTAAGGAACCCTTAACCTTCTCCTGAGAAACCACTTGATCACCCACCTCAAGCTGTTCCGACTTACCCACAAAAGACTGATGATATTGGTTGTTCTGTGATCCCAATTGATCCTTCAAATTCATGCGCCCCTTCAACCCCACATTCTCTTCTCTCCCCAAAGAATTACCAACCTGTGCTTGCACTTCTCTGTGATCTTTCAACCCGGAATCAGCATATCTACCAGAACCACTCTTAGGTTCAACTTGAACTGAACTTACCTTGTCACTCAAACCCTTTTCAGCTTTCTGTTCCTTATCCTCAGATAAACCTTGAAACACATTGCCTTTACCCTGAGACGCAGAAGATGAGGAGGGTGTGCACAAAAGGCTATCTGTACTACCATCCTTCTTGTCATTGCCCAAGTCGATGCTCATGTCACTTGCACCGCTCCATCTTCTTAAAACAGCCTTTTCAACAACTGCAGGTGCAGATGATACATCAGATGAAAGTCTTCTCAGTTCCACAGATTTGCCAACAGCAATAGGTTTGCCTCCAGAGCTTGAGCTCTCCTTCTGTTTGTTCTCAAAGAGATTGATTCTATCCTGCACACTAAGCCGCCTAGCAGGTTGACTGGCCTGACTAGATGATGACTCAGTCACCCCCTCGTCTTTCTTCTCTTCTTCCTTGTTTTCATTTTGAGAACAACGTTGTGTAGTAATTGAGGGCTTTGGTTGTTGAGATATGGCTGGCTTTGATTGGTCTATGCGGTGCTGGGTCTGTGTAGCGTTTGGTTGTACTTGTTGTTCTTGGTGTTTATTTTGGGGTGGTTGGTGGGACCCACTATTAACATGGGACCCAATTTGGTCTTCATTTGGGTCATCGATTGACATGTCAGATCCCCATGAGGCTCTGACCACTTGATCATCCACCCCTGGTTTCCAAGGGCTAATCAATTCTGGTCTTCTCTGGCATAAAGATACGAATTTGGTGCAAGCCTCACTGCAAAAATAATAAAAAATTACAAGAGCATAATGATTACTGGCATTTTCTTATTATAAAAAAAGACTAAAAGAAAAGCAAAAGTAAGAAGTTCAAAAAAGTTACCATCTAACATCATCTGGATTTTTTTAATTTAAATTAGCAAGTCAGATTCCAAAGTTGAGGAAATTAGGCCACATCTCTCAGAAATTTATGATACTCACTTTGTCCTTAACAATGAGGACAATATGACAAAATTAATTGCAAAAGGGTTCAGATAAATATCAGGCGGCATGTACATCCAGGCAAACTTGACCAGCATGGGCCCGACATGACAGCACTGTCCACAATTATGAGGGAGTTTCTCGGGTTTACTTACTGATACCCATTTAGCATTTTGAACCTTTTCGTCCGTTACCTTCTGGTTTCTTACAAAATAATCCACTTTGCAGGGGAACCCAATGCTCCCAAACCCAGATATTCAAAAGAAAACAAATAGAAAGAAATAAAATTTTCAGGGAATTTTCTAACCCTTAACAACTGAAATCATTGGGATCTGTAAGTAATAACATGGCTATTTGGACCTTCCATGCCCAACAAATGGAAGACAATCATCTCTAAATTAACCCAACATGGGGTAACACGCTACCAGATCAGTTGATAAAAATTAAACAGAAAAAAATACAAAGGCGATGTCATTTCAGGACATCTAAATTCCCCCAAGGTTGCCTGCAACTAAGCACATGGTAAGATTTCATTTTCCAAATAACCTAGTAGTTAGGTGATGCCTTACCTAGGTACCATTTCAGGCAAGGTTTAGACCTCTAACCTACTAATAATGATTACTACTCAAAACAGCTTGACAAGTCTGATCTGTGGTAGCCCCACAACAAGTACACTAAAAGCATCTTGCCATGACATATTTTGGTTTGACATCGAGCCCTTTCCAAAACCATCAAAACCATAATGAAAAAGAAAAAGGAAAAAGGAAACATCAGTTATTTTTATGATTTTGAAATATCTATAAGCTTAAAGAGGAAAACAAAAATCATTTATAAAGGCCTCTGTCGGTTCCAACTCTTCTATTATCCTTCCAACGTAGTCAAATATTTATTAAAAACCTCTGATCAAACAAAAGAATTTATTGAACACCTCAAACTGACATAAATACAACTCATTTGGACTCTCCAAAATCCAAACATAAGAAAAAACTTATAGATAGAATCTACCATGTCACACATGGTTGTTGCTAACCACACATCAACTTAGATTGAGCGGTGAAATGGTTTAAAAGAAGGAAAACTTGAACCAACATTTAATTCTGCACTGAATTGCTGTTTTTCCCTCCTTTTCAGTCCTTAGAGGGAGGTCTCATGGCTTGTCCAATTTCTACAATTAATTGGAAATGGATGAATATCAGCAAATTCTTTTAGAACATGTTTGGTAGGAAAGGAAGAGAGAGGTAGAAGGACAATTGTTTTATCCAGTGGTTACCCTTTCTTATATTTCGGGCTAGCCATTAGATGAGACAATTTTCCATCTACTTTTCCTTCTTACTTACCAAAAGCCAGAAGATAAATTGTAGCCACTCAAAAGAGCTGAGGGCAAACGTAAAGAAACATCGTCCCATCTCACACTGTTTTCATACCAGGCCTAACCAAATCAAGAAACAACTTTCTATCTCAAATACAAAATCACTGCAAAAGGTGGCCTTGACCATAAGAGACATACAAATGCACAGAGACTAGTATCTCACCCTAACCAAGGCCCATGTAACTGTAGGCACCCATGCAGAAAACCAGACTCGAAGCAAACACACAGAGGGAAATATATTATCTCATTGAAAAATATTTCAAGAGTACTTACTGCAAGCGATGAGCACCAAACCGATCTGCAAATTGTTGGAGTTCAGATACAGTGTCAGAGTTGAAACCAGCAGCACATGCACGAGCAAAAGCTGTTGCCAAGTCTTGCTGAACTGTAATAAGACGTACATCAATAGCCCTTAAAAGCTCCTTTCTGTGTAAATTGGCCAAACATCAAATCAGTAAGAAAGCATAACTGATGAAGCAATGGAAGATCCAATTTAGCACCAACAGCTGCTTTAGCATGAAATCTTTTAGACACTCAGAAGCAACTTTCTGTCCATTTTCACAATTAATACATGCAATAACTCACACATATTTATAAACTGTCCACATTCTGCATAAGCTATAATCAACATTTCCTAGGCAAAGCTTTACAACTAGCTCACATCTAATGAGTGAAACATAATAATTTCAATAGTTTCTGTATAGTCATATATAAATTCTACTTGGACAACTCCAGACCTCCTAATACTAGAAAAGGCAGGTCAGCCTTGCATTCCTGAGCCATGTCATCATGCATCGACCAGAGGGCTCCTCTCTGATCATTAACTTCACTAAAAGCATGGAAAATGTCTAGCAGGTATAAAGTTTCAACAGAAAATCAACTTAACATTTTCAAACATGTAAGTGCAGCAGTAAGTGATGCCACAATCAACTACAAGTTTAATCACAATTCCACCAAAAAATTTATAAATTTGCAGATATGTTAAACCTAAAAAAGGAAACGGAGTTACTTTGTTGCATCAGCAGCTGCTGTCACTCCTGCACCATCCCCACCTAGTACAAATTATCCAAACACTCTGTCAGTTTTCAACAATGATTTCAAACAGGGATACAAACCCATCTCACAAGATCATTGACTTGAGATGTTACCTAAATACTTCCCACCCTAAACCAAGCTCTAAATGAATGATGATTAATAGTTGTATCAAAAATCGAAGGGCTAATACAATTACTTTCTATAGGCAGGCTTAAACATACAAAAGTAAGAGCAAAGACAAGATCAAGTGTCTGATTAATAAGAAGAAGCATAACCATTCATAAAAATTTTAAATCGAGGTGGAGTATAAAGCATCATCTCAAGCCATTGCATAAACTGAATGCAGAAACATGAGACAAAACCAAAAAGACTTGTAAACTTAATAAAGCAGGCACCACACTGACGTAGGAACAAACAACACTAGAAGGCTCCTAAAACACTGAAAATATATAACTCACATCAAGTCAATTCTGTCCAAGCATGTCATTTCTAAAAGAAGAAAATTAGAAGAAAAGAGAAGCCTATCCATCAATCACTAAAGAAAACAAAGCACAACCCCTTAATTAACTTTCTAAAGCTTTTAAAACTAAAAAGTTGAAGAGATTGGCAGAAAGTTTGAAGAACATGCAATCCAACCGGTAAAACTCCCTATATGTTTCTTAAACCAAAATTGCTCTAGATATTACCTACCCAACAAAATAACTGGATCCAATTGCATATACAAAGTCACCTAATTACCTCACTGTTCTTATGCCGAGAAATGGTCCACATTACTTCACACTGAAGTCAGACTAGTGAGGTTTTAGCCAGATCTACGACACTATTGAAAGGCTCTAGTTGCTTATCCAGGATTAGAAAAAGGAATAACTGCTTGTCTCTTCTTTCAAAGAAATTCCTTGAGTTGAAAGAGATATGATCATAAAATAAGTGGAATTACAAATAAAACTGATCCCACTCAAACAAGAATAGTTCCCCTTCCCCTGCTTCTGTCTTGCTCTAGCTACTGATTCTTTTCCTCTTAACTGACCGAACCACCAGGAGGAAATTCTCAAGCAGCTGATTTGACAGCATTGGTCCTGCTTGACCATCAGCTTTGTCTTTGTAAGAGCAGCAATCCCTTCCCTTCTTAAATAAGCCATTCAAAGAGAACCAGAGATGACCTCTTATTTTATGTCATTTTCCATTTTAGGATTCTTCTAGGCTAGACCTATTGATCTAGAACCTTCAGCAAAAGGGGAAATTAAACTACAGATATGAGTGCTGGCGCTTATACTGTTCGAGAGTATCTATAGATTGCTGTAAAATACTCAAAAACTACAGGGAATTTGCACACCAAGGGAACTGGATGGAAAGTTGCAAACCCAATTGCTATAGGCCAAGCTCTAAAAAAGCCTATTGTGGGCCATCAAATCAGCTAAAATTAACATAAGGGGAAGAACCAATGGAACTTTTATGTAGCATAGCCATGGTCTTTAAATTCAAGAGACATCCCTCCCTAAAGAAAACCTTTTACCTACAACTTAATCTTAGTTACAAGGACTCTTAAATAACTCAGTTGCTTTTGCCATTATTTTCAAGCTTCATACCAAATAGTTCTCACCGCATAAATAACTAAACATACAAATATTAAGACCCATTGATTGTTACACTTATCACAAACTGCAAAACAGACTACCGAGCTACATCCCGCTAAAGGTTAAGCAGAACCTTGACATGGCCGCCAACAACAAATAAGATGCTAGATGGTGGCAAAATGAAGAACCCAACAAATAAGAAATCTAGCCATTTTTCCCTTGGATGGTCACAGGGAGAAAGAAACATCATGAAAGCTTTGCTTTTTTCCATAATCCCCTTTCTTCTTTCTTTTTTTTTTTTTGGAGAAAATCCTGTTTCTCATTTGTTATTCTTTTTTCTATATTTTAGTTCCTCAATTTGAAGTAAGCAACCAATCACATCAAACATCAAACATTAGTTCCTCAATTTGAAGTAAGCAACCAATCACATCAAACATCAGACATGATTAGTCAACCGTTTCATTAAAAATTACACCAAACATAAATACGTTCCTAAATATCTATCCGTATGTACATGTCAACATTGGGAAATAGAGAATGGTAAAGCTAATAAAACAAGTTTTCATTTTGCATTTTTCCTTCTTCTTTATTGTAATTTTTTAAAAAATATGGGACTCAAACACAGCAACCATTTTTTCAACAAGGACATGAGGCATCGATAAGGTAAGAGAAACTTACAACAAAATCTATGCAGAAGAATGACCACATTTCATTTCATGCTGCCTCATGGTCCAACAACATTTATAACATATTCATATCTAGGCTGTAGCTAATGTCACTTTTAAATCATTAATGTTTTAATGCACATTCCCATAAATATGCGCCTTAGAAAAGCCATACATCTTCAACAAAACCATAAATTTATTCTAATTTTAAGAAGCAACCATATAATTTTCTTCCTAAGGAGATTCCTAAGCCACTTAAATGCATTAGTAATTATGACACAAATAAATATAATAAACATTTTTTACATATATAAACATAGAATTTTTCTTTACCATCATAATTAATGCATTTCTTGATTGCTACACTTTAAACTAGTTCATGATATAATCACTTTCCATAATAAGAAGAACTCTTCACTTCACTATATCATATTATAACTTGAAAATATCTACCAGGATCTAAATAACAAATACATTGATATCTTTAATAAATAACAGAAACAACAAGCGGCAACATGTCAGCCAACACAACTACTAAAACCAGTGATATGCAAACATAAACCCACATGATAAAAGATACTTCACTGCCTCCATCAAGGCTAATGACAAAACAAAGATGTTGAAGTTGCATGTTTCTGGAATCTAACCATCCATGCTGGATTTGTAACAAATAAGGGATTCACCAATACCAACAAACTAGATTCTGAATTGGAGAAAGAAGTTAACAACAAAATCCAGGAAAAAAAACCATTCATGATAGAAACAAGCACACCTAATGCTCCAGAAGGCTGATCTCCCACCCCCTGAAACATGAGAGTTCCCAGATTCAGAAAATTTGTAAAGTAAAACTGCATCAAATTAACAAAGCAAAGTTTCCCCTACAGATGAAGACCATTCACACCTGAGAATATATTCTTCGAGCTGCTTCCAACTGAGACATCTCTGCATCAAATGTGTTCACCAATTCCAAAACCTCTGGTGTACTAACAAACCGCACAAACCTGGAAACAAGTTCCACTCATATCAAAATATGAAGCCAAAATCCCGCATGCAACGGCAAGAAATTGCACAGATGTTGAATGTCTACCTCTCAAGTGTTCCTTTTGTAAACCAAGTCTCCGCATTATTTTGCTTTTCAATTTCAAGCTTAATTGATTGAATTGACAGTGCAACCTGTTCTTCGGCCACCTTCAAATGAGTAACAAATGGCTTTACTAACCCAGAAGCAAGCTTCTCCGTGTTCCCATTGCTCGAAACAAACAATTCACATCTGCCCATAGGGTAAAAATAGCAATGATTATTAACAGAAAGAAAATAAGGAACAATACAAAAGCCATATAATGATATTCTCACCTTGAGCGCTTTGGTGACAATTGGAACACAGCATAATCAAGAAGCGTGTCCGATTTCATCTTCTCTCTACGATATTTACAAAATTCCCTAGTCTGACCCTTCACATACACAAATATACTTCTTAGCACAACAAGGCGCCACCGTCTGGTCTCATAATCAGCATAACTCCAAATGATAATAAGACCTCAAAGCAACAATGCAGATTCTGGAGTAGAAAACATAAAAAAAAAAAAACCATATAATCAAAAACAAATCCTACAAAAAAAAATCCAAAAAAAGATCATATTATCTAATAATCTCATTTACAATTAAAATTATAACTTATCAAACCCTACATGTGCAAATCAAACAAGGAAACCAATACCTTAGTAATTCACATTTCAAGTAAAAAATTGCATTACAGTAAGAAAAAAGTTTTGAGTAAAGATAATTAGAAACCCCACAAACTTCCAAAAAGAAAAAAATAGAAACAACTACTACTAATTTTAAACCCAAACACTTAACAGAAATAAACAATGGATCTCAATCTAAAAATTCAAGAAGAACAAAAATGCACCTAGAAATCTAAACGCTTGGCACCAAAATAGAAATCCATTCTTCATAGATATAAATCAGACACAACCCAGATCTGATTCCACCCAAAAGCCACAAGTTCGAGTACTAAAATAAACCTAAACCATTTCCACAAAATTCAAGATAAAGAAATTCAAAATGCAGGCACGGAGAAAACAAGATACTAAAAACCACCCACTTACACAAAACATTAAATGCAAACAAATTGCATGCTAAAATCCTCAAAGAAAGGAAAGAACCGAACTTCATTTGAAGTAAGAATGTGAGTGTTGGATCGTTTAAGAATTGAAGAGTTACCTACTAGAAGAAGAAAAAAAATGGTGAGATCTTGGGGTAGGGAATCCGATCCTGAGAATCAACTCTCAAATGGGTACCTGCATTTGAGGAGGTTAAAGAGTTTACTTTGTGAGGTTTGTATTTTTTATTTTTTTTTTATTTTTTTAAGTTTGAAGAAAACCCTAAGAATGACAAGATGGTTTTTGCTTTACTCATCTCTCAAATGGCAATCTTTTCTTTCTTTTTCTAAGGGTGGTGACCTTGCTTTCTCTCTCCACATAACTCTCTCTCTCTGTCCAAAGGATACAGTAGAGAGAGACAATGTTTGAAAGGAAGAGAGAGATTATGTTTTTCTTCGGACAATCTTTTTGTTGTTTCCGTGTATTTTGTGCTTTTAACTACGATTTTTGAAACACGGATGACTCTTCGCCACTATTGTCTATTTACAAAAATGGGCTTCATTTTTCTGTTCCCAAGTTACAATCTTGTCCTTTTCTTTTAGCGGCTTCATTATTTGAATTTCCTTTGTTTTTATCTGCATATTTCTTCCATTTCATAAGTACACAAAAATAATCATTTTTACTTTCTTTATTACTCTCAATTATAATTACTCATTTTCTTATTCTTTTTATCAAGCTGACGGTAACTTTACAATTAATTAAAATCAAAAGTTAACATAAATTTTTTAAAATTTTGTCCAAAGTCAAAATGGAGCAATATATATGAGATGGAGTGAGTAATTCTTTTAAAAAAATTAGTGAAAAGAGATTCGAATATTATTTTTTAAGTAAGAAGATCATGTATCGATTAATGAGTTAAATATTCAAATACAAATATTATAAGCTCTTATTGAGATGCAGTGAGTAATTAGATTAAGTTAGATTCAAAAAAAATGTTAAAAAATTTCAAACTCCATGATGAATAAAATTTTATAGAATTGTACTAAATTGTTATTTTCATCCATTGTTTTGATCAATAAAAAGGGAGAACTTGTAAATCATAAAATATTAGTGTTATTCTTCAACCACATGACTTTAAAGTATTAAAGAAATCACGTAATAATAAAGTTAAGTGATGGTTAACAACATGAATAATAAGCACAACAATTCGCAATTTAAGTGGCATTGCTTTTAGTTGCATAGTTGCAGACTTATTTAATTCGTTAGTTAGATCTTTGGACGATGCAAATGAAGGAACTTATGTTCATAAAACTTTTATGGGTAGAAACTAATAAATAGAGGCCATGAGTTCTAAGTTTCCCATATCTATAATCTAGGCAAATTTAGAAACAATCCACCTACCATCCATAATCTTTTAAAACTTATTTATCAAGCATACAAAAACAATATAATATAATCTACTAAAAAAGAATCCCAAAATCCAAACAAAATCAAAAACATCAATTAATCTCTTGGACATAATCTTCATTGTCAATGGATATTGATTACTTTACATTTTAAGGATTGTTATCAAACTTAATTATTAGTTTTTTTATCTTAATTGTTATTATTGAATCATAAGTTCGATGTATTTATATTACTCTAATGAAATGAGAATATTTATTAACATTTTAAAAAATAGTATAATTAATTTATACTTTTTTATACAAATGAAAAATTAATAGTTTTTAATTACTAAAGAATAATGTGTAAAAAATATACATTTTTAGTATATCTTCTTTAATGCTAAACAAAAATTGATAACAATACTCAATCTAGCTCTTATATTGTAGATCTTCTTTCATTTAGTCTCTATGCTTTACAACTTTGTTTCAATTTAGCACTTGTATTCTACATTTTAGTTCAATTTAGTATTTATGACATGAGATCAAAAAACTGACATGGAATTTTTTTTTTAAATTTTTTTTTGAGCATGACATGTCATCGTTACTACATCAATATGTTAACATCACATCATCGTTAATACTATTAACGGTCAATTTAAATAACAATAAAGAGAAAGACTCAATTGCACAAAACTTCAAGATATAGAAACTAAATTGATTAATTTTAAAATAGAGAGACTAAATTAACAAAAACCTTACAATACAAACCTATGTCATAGTACATACCTATCGGACATTAACTTCTAATAAATCATCGTATTATTTGTTGGTCATTACGTTTGTTTTGAGAATATTGTTGTAAATAGTAACTTAACAAACAATGAGTACTTGTCAACAAAACTTATAAATTCTTTCTTATTGAAACAAAGAATTAAACCCAATTCATTCAATAAAAAAAACCATACATATATATATTATGAAGCCAAATATTTAGATGCAGAAAAACCTATCATAAGTTACACTCTACAGTTTTTTCCTTTTTGAAGCTATAATGGCTGAAACTGAACACCTTATGTCTGAAATATTATGTCCACCTTGGTAATTTGAAGCACTTTGTCCATGCCTCTCCAAGAGATGAATGGACCACTATTTAGGGAATGGCGGTATTTGGGTCATTTCATGTACCATTAATGTGTGGTCAACTGTCTAAATTTGTTAAAAAGAGTGGAGGATGTTAGAGAGTAGATCCTAAAAATTTTAACGGTTCTTTCAAATAAAAGTTTCGAAAGTGAGACCGAAAGGAAAATGGGGGAAACGGACGTATCGTGCGGCTCAAGCACTGACCCCGGATTTTCTAAAAAGATATGCAGCAATTTTTTCTTTTTATTTTCCATATGAGTTTACCATATTACCCTCTAGTGTTGTCGGAGTGTTATGATCCACTCACCTTTTGACATTTGTCACCGCCCCTCCTGTTGAATACTAATTTCATTACTCGGCCAACACCCTTGATGCTGATAAAATAATATTATTTTTTTTTCTTGATAATGATTTGGTGAATGTGACGTTTGATACGCTTCCACAAAGTTTTAGGCAGTATTATTAGATTCATGTTAGAAAATGCTAACTAAGTTTACATCTAAATCTTCCACTTCCAACTATTTGATTAAACATTTATTTGATCATAAATAAATGGATTTTTGTAACTTACTTTAAAATTTGTAATTTTAAAATGTTGATCGTGTTATAAATCATTCCCGAACATCTTTTAGATTATGCTAGCTATTAACATTTTTACATATTTAAACTTTGAATAGATATTTTAAATTCGAACCATGAGTTATTCTCTTCTCATACCTAACTCATTGTTTAAAAGAGTCATATATGTTGTAAAATGTAGACATTCACTTGAAAAAATAAAATAAAAACTTATTATTTTTTATCTTTTAGGATAAAAGATTTAAATGAAAATGACTCGTCCAATTGCAAATAAACATTTCATATACTATCATTGGATAATTTGGATTTTGGGTTTTAATATTGAATTTTGATACTACTAAGAGGGGGAGGGGAAAGCTTCATCACCAACTCACATCATGATATAGCATTAGAAACAAAGGCAAATAAATCAAAAACATTGAACAAACTCCATTCTTTGGATTCTCAAAGAGAAGGAATAGGAGTGATAAATTCCCAGCTCACATGATTTTCATTTTTTGTCACCATAGAGCATACATCAAGAATCAAAGGCCACGTTCTAGCTTTGGTAGGACCATGACTGCAAGGGGGTACTTGTTTTTCACGTCGTGCTAAAAAAACTCTTTTAAATTCCTGAACCAAGGTGCAGTCCTGGAAGGAAAAAATTGATCAAACAATGAGGTTTTTGTTTGTTTTGTGAAATTTATCTTTCTCCACCCAAGGAAATTATTGCTGATTTTCTACCAAACTGCTGCCCATCACGAAGTTGGTATTTGGTTAATGATATCAAGAGAAGAATTAATTACTAGGAAGTGACTTTGCCCTTATCTATTTATATTATCTATGATCTATCATGATAATGGAGATATAGGCAATTGGGCACAAAGCACAACCCTTTACGATCTCCACGATTTCTACCATATTCTTTTTAATTTACAACTCAAATATATTATTATTATTTATTATTCAAAATTCCATCATACTTTTTTATTAAATTTAAAATATAAAAAATTTTGTATCTTTAAACAAATATCATAAATTAATCATTGAATCAAGCGTTTGGATATCCTCTTTACGTCTTATTACTAGAATAAATTTCAAATGACATTTATTTTCGTTAAATTTCTTTTACAATTTGAAAAACACAATTTTTTTTAAATTTTGTTTGATTAATTTTTTTATATTTTATATTTTATAAAAAATAATAATAAAAATATCAATCAAACAAAATTTTAATGTTTCATAATTAGATTGAAGACGCTCGATGTATCAATTAAAGTACAGTAAAAGACAATACTGCATTTAAATCATTTTATTGAAAATATACATATAACACAAATAATATTTTTAATAATTAATTAATTATATATACAAAGATTATTCTATATACATACCTAAAAGTGAAATGTATCGATTACCGTATCCCATAAGAATTGGATTAACATAATTATTTCGCAACAAAACGTCATAGCTTTATTTTTTCCCACGTTGCTTAGAATTTTCCTTGTTTTAATATGATCAATGACCTATATAAAATTTAGTCTAATGGAACTTGATTAAACATGCTGTTAGAATGTTGCAGATTCAATTCTATATTTCTGAATCATTCTTGTTTTTGGAGTAATTAATGAAATAATAATAAAATTTCTACATCACAACTTATTTTCATCATACATATTTAACTTGTTAACAAACAAATCTTATATTTTTTAATATTATTTTAATGAACCACAAAAAATAAAAAATTATTTAGTCATTAATTTTTTTAAAATTATATCATTAAACTGACACGTGGTAAATAAAAACTATCTATAACCTTCATGTAATTATTTGTTTTTAGTTTTCTACCTAACAATGATTATGGTAATGATAATTATCAATTGATAGAGATTATAATTGACAAGGAAGCTTTAAATACCGAAGCTTTTGGATTTGGTTTTAAGATGAAGGGATTTAACCCCAAAATCGTTAATCTTTTAACAAACAACAGCCCGTATGATAAGCAAATTGACGGCTGTGATTTATTAATGAGTTTATGGTTGGCTTGGTGAGGTCGCCATCAGTAGCCATCAATTGCAGGTAATGGGTATCTAAAATCATTTTAGATCTGAGGGTCCTGATTTCATCATGAGGATGACATTCTATCATCTTTCTCGCAACTAGCTTAGATTTCAAATTTTGTAATGGCCCCAACTGTTCAGTAGTAGTTGGTGCCACATGGATGCTTTCTTTTTTCTTTTATTTTTTTAATAATAAACAAAGTAATATGAATTAATAATTTAAATGTTTATATTTTAAAATATTTATTAATTTTATTTCATTTTTAAGTTAAGTTGTTGCATGTAAACACTAAATTAAAGATGTTCATGAATTCAACCAAACTGTTTTAT